TCCTGGTCCGAGTGCTACTGTTGTTTTGTTGATGGACAATGATAGAATTATAGTTAGGATTCTCAAAACGATGAATCAGATCTTGAACACTTGGATGGCCAAAAGAAAACACTTTTCCACCAGGAGAGAAAACAATCATTAAAATTTCTGCACCACATAATGTACAAAGTTCACTAGCTTTTTTGAAAAGACCAAAGCTTCTTTTCGAGAAAGTAACCTGAAGGTTGCTCTCGTTTTTCATTTTTTTCATCTCTATTTTCTGACGACCTTTGGTACTTCTCACCATTTTCTCAAAAGTTAGAAGAAACAAAAGACAAATTGATGTTAAAAACTAAACTATGTTCTCTATATTTATACTGGTGTATTACATATAGAAATCCAACACCATAAGTCCATTCCAAGTAAATTTTGTCCTCCGACCCTTATTTTTGTTGAACTTTTAATTTTCCCATATGAGGAATATTTCATAATTATCTCTAATTTTTTTAAAGGATAAAAAATTCATGATATTTTAAATGCAATATCATTATATTAGTTGTTAAATTGCATAACAGTTTGACAAATGTATGTATCAACTCCCCATGAGAGGCACATTAAATTATTATGAGCTGTTTTTAAATACTTATTGGGAAAAAATCTGAAAATTATATCCATTACATTAATTAGAGTCCATTTTATGTTATTTACAGCTAATACAAGTAAACTATATACAGAAGAAAAAAAGTTATCTATTTTTGAGATATTACAATCATCACTAGATAAAATATACAGTTGTACTTTTCATAATAATATAAACAAAATATATGAAGTGAAATTCAAATGATTTTGAGTTATGGGCCCAAATATTTTAATTTGGATTTATATCATTTATTAGAGATTATTTTCATAATGAGGGTGAGTTATGTTTATTGAAATTAACATTTATAAGATATACATAAAATGATTTATACTCAAATATTGTTGATTTATCAATTATCACTATCTTTAAATATTAAAATGTTGGAAGATTACAATAATCATTATTGATTCTCATAAAAAATAAATTATTTTAAATAAAACAAAAGGTACTTAGTTTTTTTTTTTATCAATTATATCATTATTGAAAAATATTTTAATCTTATCACAACGAAAAAATATACATAGAAACATGGTGAACAATTTCACTATTCCAACAACAGATACGTAATTGGACTTATATCAGAAAAATTTACAATCAACTTGCACCATATTTATTTACAACTAGGATATGACCCGCGGTACACCGCGGGTTAATTATTTGATTTTTTTATTTTTATAAATTGATGAATTTATTGTGTATAATATTTTTTGTTGTATACCGCGGGTCACATACGTTGTATCTAAAATAAAAAATTTTAAGTTGTATTTGTTTTGTTTAGTGTTTAAGATTGTATAATTGTATTTTGATTTGTTATTTATAGGATTTCACCTGTGGTATATTGTCTCGTATTAATATTGACCCAAACGCGTCCAACCATATAATCTAAAATGAAATTAAACATCATTTTGTTATTTTTTTAATAACACTTTTATTTAAATATCATATAATTCGAGTTAATTTGAAAGTTGCTTTCAAATAGTTTCCATGTATATTTTTAAATTAGTGTGTGTTTTTGGACCAACCCGTAAAAACAATTTATAATTGTATCTTAAAATACTAATTAGGATTTCACCCGTGATATACTGTCCCATTTTAGATAATTGTAAAAATTAAAGAAAGATCCGAATACTCAATTTCGGGTCTGAATAAAATAACGACATGATTAAATGCTCAATTTGTTCTTAAAAATGTTAATATAGATTACACACATATTTTTATTCATCGATTGACTAATATATGTCCGTTTTAAAAAATTTGAATTGTAACATATGCAGAAAAAAAAACTAAAATTTACTAACTATTTATATATTTTATAATAATTTAAAATAATATAAATATAAGATCAAATAAAAGTGAAATAAGAATCATATATTTATGTTTAAATTAGGTAGAGAGGTTTTAGAAAATTAGTGCAAATTTGTTATATTAGCATTAAATCATCATATTTGATTTCTTTATCTATAAAAATCGTGGAGAATATACCATAAATAAAGCGTTTAAATATAGTAATTAGTTGAGAAAGTATATATATTTTAGATTTTATTAATTATTTTCGTTTTTTAATTTTGCCAAAATTTAAGGAAAGATCCGATTGAAGATTTCCGGATCAAAATTAAACAAATTTGACCCGATTTGGGTATCCAAAAACTGCTGCAAAAATGTATAGTAGATAGACAACGTGCTCTACTTTCGGTTGGGCTCGTGCTGGGTTTCAAATTGGGCTTAGTGCATGGCTTCGGTTTTTGAAACATGTTTATACACCTTCCCAAGTATTGAAACTTCCCTCTACGAGGCCACATGACCTCGGGCTCGGGAGTCACTAACCCTGCAAAGTGCAAATCCTAACCACAAGTCAACACGTGGCAAATACACAAGACATTACTTCCCAACATAACCGCCTCTTTAATTGCCACGTAACGTAAACATCGAATAACCACGTGTCTAACAGTAACCGCTTATCTAGTGAAAGAAAGGGATAATCTATCTCTCTCCTCTATAACTACTATAAACTTCCTCCATGGAGATTGGAACCAAGAAACAAACCACAAACTATATCAAAATCGGAATTTTTTTAAATAAGAATAATGAAGAAAAGCACGGTGATGATGATGATGCTTATGATGGTGCTGATACTGACGTGGCAGAAGCAATGCTATGGATGGGGAACAGAGACAGCAGAGGATATGGTTAGAAACGAAGCAGAGCATGCTAAAAACGCAGCCGAGACCGCTCATGACACAAAGGAAAAAACCGCCTCTTGGGCTGGCTGGGTTTCCGACAAAATTTCCACGTAAGCGTTAACTTTTGTTTAGGCATGATCATACTTTTATTTTGGATCTGTATTACTTTCTTCTAATGGGACCATAATCTCTAATGCTTGATAAATAAATAAATAAAATTGTTAAACGTAGATTTGAGTTTTGATTTACAGAATGTTTGTTTTTAAAAAAAATTGAAATGTATATTAACGCATCACTTGCATTTAAAACTGTTTAGTGATTTAAGAATGTTCATATGATTGATCTAATAGCACTCTTTCTTCTTCTTCTTTTGTTAACAGAGGATTGGGAAGCAAGAAAGATGAGGCAGAAGAAGCGGCTGGATCTGCGAAGAACTACGCTTATGACAAGGCTGGATCCGCCTATGACAATGTGGGTTACGCCAAGGACTTTGCATCAGACAAAGCTGGATCTGTTTACGATAGTGCTCAAAACGCAAAATATTATGCTTATGATAAGGCTGGTGATGCAAAGGACATAGCCTACGATAAGACCGGTCAAGCTAAGGACATGGCTTACGACAAAGCAGGATCGGCCTATGAAAAGGCCGGTCAAGCCAGGGACATGGCCTACGACAAGGCGGGTCAAGCTAAAGATATGGTCTACGACAAGGTGGGATCAGCCTACGACAAGGCGGGTCAAGCCAAAGGTAAGGCCTACGACAAGGTCAGTCAAGCCAAGGACAAAGCCTACGAGAAGGCGGGATCAGCCTCTGCCATGGCCGGTCAAGCGAAAGATATGGCCTACGGCAAGGCCGGTCAAGCTAAGGACATGGCTTACGAAAATGCGGGATCAGCTTATGACATGGCTGATCAAGCCAAGGACATGGCCTACGACAAAGCAGGATCAGCCTCTGAGAAGGCTGGTCAAGCCAAAGACTTTGCCTACGACAAGGCAGCTCATGCAAAAGACGCTGCCTATGACAAAGCAGAGGATGTGATTAAGATGGCTACGGATAAGAGTGGTGAAGCTAAAGATAATGCGTATGGAACATACAAAAGATTCAAAGAAGGGTCTAATAATGCTAAAGACATGGAATCGGATAAAGCTCAGGATGTTAGCGAAACCGCAGGACGAGCGATGGACTACGCAAAAGACAAAGCAACTGATGCATACGAATCGGGGAGCGAAGCAGCGAGAAGATTCGACGAGGCAATGCATAAGGTTGGGGAGAGGTATGGTGCAGCTAAGGATTCTATGTCGGAGAAGACAAAAGAAGCTTATGAGAGTGCAAAGGAGAAGGCTTCTGATGCTGCTGGAGAGTACGGCACATATGTAAGAGACCGTAGTGCTGAGCTTTAGAACCGACGAGGTATACTACGCATTTAGATTTCAAATCTTCGTTTGTAAAATAAATTTCTTATATATATATATGTGTATGTATATGTAAGAATGGTGGAGTTGTTTGTATTTAGTTGCAAAACCAGATTCTGAATTAAAGGCGAGTTAGATCATCCTCTTTTGAGTTTTAGTTTTTTAGTTTTTTAGTTTTTTTTTTTTATTTTTTGGTTAATACGAGACAAATTTGGTAAACTAGACACCTTTTAAAATAATAATTTGAAGAATAAACGCTTTCATAAATAATTGGCATAATAGACACATTTCTCTCTCTTCATCAAATAAAACTCTTTATTAGAGAGGATTTTGTATAATTACTTAATTACCTTTTTTGTTGTTATCTATATATATATATATATTTTTTTCTTTTCATTTAAATCTTTTTAGTTTGTTTTGTTAAAAATTATTCATAAACATTTTTTATCACAATAACATATTAATTTTTTATTTTTTTAATATGAATCTAAAAAATCCAAATTAGCTATTTTATGTGAATTTAATTTTTAATCTTAATTTGACAGTGTACGAAGTGGGATACAAACAACAATCTCTTAGTGGTGTACAAGTACAACTATAAAATACGATGGTGTACGAAAATGACGCAAAAGGTGGTGTACATGATATTGATAGTGGTACATAAAACGATGAGATGGTGTGTCGCGCTATACACCACCTCATGTGCCGTCTACAACACTACATACTTTCACATATTGTACACTAAGTCTACAAAAGAGATAACTATTTTAGTCAATGTACGTGATGGTCTCTATGAGATAGTGTACAAACATTAGTGTACGAGATGATGAAGTGTACGAGCATTAGTGTATTTAATGGTTGAAGAGATATTATATAAATATCGATGTATAGGATAATTTAGTGTACATGTGTTAGTGTACACCACGTCTATAAAAAAAGAGAATCATTTTCGATCGGTGTACGTGATGGTCTATGAGATAGTGTACAAACATTAGTGTACGAGATGATGAGGTGTACGAGCGTTAGTGTATTTGATGGTTTAAGAGATATTGTACAAATATCGGTGTACGGGATGAATTGGTGTACATATGTTAGTGTACGAAACGATACTTAAAAGTGGTCCCAAAATATCTCTTTTTAGACCAGGGTTACTTTGGTCTTAACATACAGTTTTGTCTTTTTCTCTATTACACAAACATTCTATCTCACAAAAAAAATTTGAAAGTGTCTATTTCTCAAATTATTTTTCAAAAGTAACTATTTCCTCAATTACTTTTCAAAAAGTGTCTATTTTACCAACAAACCCTTAATACGATCACGGAAGAAAAAGTTAATTGTTTTGTGCCAAGGCAGTGGTGATAATAGCACTTTCTACAAAAACAACTCGCTTGAAGCAAATTCAGAGAGCGTTATTGTGAAACAGGGAAACAGAGTTTTTGCGTTAATTATTGATTTAATGTTTAAGACATTAACATAAACTACCGAATAATTTAGCTATTACTTAAACTGAGTAATAAATTTTATTTTCCTTTTTAATCAGAGTTAAGTTTCAAACTTTATACTCTCTCTACTAGATTTTAACTCGCGGTACACCGCGGGATGAATTAATTTTAAAGTTAGTATAAAAATATTTTGTAAATTGTATCTCTTTATAACATATTTATTTATATTATAGTTTACAATTGTTATTAAGTAACGGTATACCACGAGTCCACGAGATAATTATTAATAAACTGAGGATTTAACCCGTATTAAAGCGGTATATAAATATTGATTCAAATTCGTCCGCCATATAAATCATTTCCGAAATATAACCCGTTCCGTAATTTCTTAACCCGTCCTATGATTTGTATTAAAAAAAATAAGGATTAAATCCGTATTGAAGCGGCGAATTAACGATATTTTAATCTTTTTATTATTATTGATTCAAAAACCCGTCCCGCCAAACCCATCCCGCCAAAAAACTCATTTATTTTAGAGAGACTCACAAAAATGCCCCTTTTTCAATATCCCTTTTCAAAAATGCCTCTTTTGGCTGTCCATTTTTAAAAATACCCCTTTTTATGTACAAAATGACTAAATTACCCTTCATTTAATAAAAGATATCACAAATATATAAGGAAATATAACAAAATCAGGTCCACAAAATACAAAATATTTTTTGGCGGGAAAAGTGATCCCGCAATTTTTCCCGCCAAAACACTTGTAAAAACTTGTAAAACCTTTAAAATACCTTGTAAAATTTTCCCGTAAAATTTTTTCCCGCCAAAAAAAGTTTTTTGCGGGAAAAGTGATTCCGCAATTTTTTTGGCGTTAAATTTTTGGCGGGAAAAATTTACAAGGTATTTTAAAGATTTTTTACAGGGTATTTATAAGATTTTACAATGTATTTTAAAAGGTTTTACAACGTACTTATAAGATATTATAAGATTTTAAAAGCTATTTTATAAGGTTTTACAAGTTATAAGGTTTTACAAGTTTGTTATAAGGTTTTACGAGTTATAAATACCTTATATAACCTTATAAGTACCTTGTAAAACCTTTTAAAATACATTGTAATACCTTACAAAACACTTGTAAATACTCCGTAAAACCTTTAAAATACCTTGTAAATTTTTCCCGCCAGCAAAATTTCGCCAACAAATTGCGTAATCACTTTTCCCGCAAAAGAAGTTTTTTGGCGGGAAAATTTTTTACGGGAAGATTTTACAAGGTATTTTAAAGGTTTTTACAAGTGTTTTGGCGGGAAAATTGCGGGATCACTTTTCCCGCCAAAAAATATTTTGTATTTTGTGAACCTAATTTTGTTCCAAATAAGGGTAAAATGATCATTAAAAATTAAAAGAGGGCAAACTTAAAAATGGACTCTCAAAGGGGGCATTTTTGAAAAGGGGTATTGAAAAAGGGGCATTTTTAACAATTTCTCTTTATTTTATTAATGTTCTTATTTATGATATGATTTTGAATCATTGTCTAAATATTTTAATCGATGTAGAACGTTGAACACACATTTTCGTCAATTGGATAATATATGTCCGTTTTTAAAATTTCGAATCACAGTATATGCAGAAAAAAAATTGATTTTTTTTTTTACTTTATGCATTATATGATGATTCAAAACAGTTAAAAACAAATCAAACAAAGATGATAGGAGAATCATAATTATAAATCTTAATCAAATCTTCTAAAAATCTAAATTATTAAATATGGAATATCCGGTGTATGAGTTGGGTTAAATATAACCCGACCCAACAAATTTTTTGTGAAGAAATTTTTAAAATGGGTCGGATATCCGATATACCCGAAAGCTTTTTTACCCACCCGTCACAACAGTGCTGCGATTATACTAGTATAGATTTCATAAAAAGTGTCGTTTTAAGGTTTTAATTTTGTTTCACAAAATAATGTCGTTTTATGTTTTCAATGCAGTTTTTAAGACTAATTCTCCTTTTTATCCCTACTATTTCAGTTTATTAATTATAGAGAGAATACTATTATCTAATGTATTAATAAGGGGTAGAAATGAAAATTGTTTAATTTTCTTAATTTGTATGAAAATAGTAGAATGACACTTTTTGTGAAACAGGGAGTATAAGTTTTATGTTATTCAATCAAATAATTTCATAAAGATTAATATTACATATCGTGATCGTAGTAAAGAATCAAAAGACAAATCAAGTAAAGCAACCCAATAATTATACAATCTCGACATAAATGATCCATATACATATCAGGATCAAATAAAACTTAATAGCATTTTAAATTATATTTATTGAAGATATTTATCTTCAGAGTGAATAGATGCAAGAAACTTTTTGAGACGCCTGTTGTAAACACAAGGTCTTTCCAATTGTACCAAATGGCCTGCCTTCTTTATACTCTCTATTGTTGCATTCTCACCTAGTTGTCTGAAAAAATCAATAACGGCAAAAATTAGGACAACAAAAAAAAAAACAACTTTTCAAATGGCAGAAATTATAAAATTTTAATATCTTCAAACTTACTCTTTCATGTCTCTAGCCAATTCGAGATCAAAGATTTGATCACTTTCACCCCATAAGAAATGTATTTTCTGCATACACACATATATAACACATGAAATGTTGTTACATAGAGTCTAAATACTAATAGTTATACGGATGTGGACATTTGTTCATACGTACCCGTGGGAAATGAGGGATTTGCGCTTCCTTGTTGCTGACTACAACAGCCTCTAACAGTTCAGCTCTTTCTTTCCTGTTGTTAAACATTACCTACCAAGTTCACCAGTAAATTAAAACATAATTTAGAACCATACGTTCACATTCATTCAACTAAAAAGACTTGGACTAAATAAATGTGAACTAGTTCTAAATCAATCATTGGTAGACTAAATATTGTTACTAGATAAATACGAGATATAGTTGAGAGTAGTTTAACAAATTTTAGCTAACCTACCATATAATAGTATTTTTTATATAACCTACCATAAATGTAGATTTATCTATAATCTATTTTTCTTCACTTACTTCTAGATAATTTTAGGCAACGAATTAGAATTAACATTTTTTTGGTGGGAACGAATTAGAATTAACATAATGTTAAAGTTCCAATTCATTTTCAATTGAAGAATAGAAAAGCAACATGAAAAATTAACTAATTTAAATTTATGAATGATAGAAAATAACGAAAATAATTATGTATCTTAAAACTGGGTAACCGTAATTAGTTTACAAACATGAATAGAGTTGGTTTATTTTATAAAGAGATTTGCTAAATTTGAAGAGAGTCTTGTTATTTATAACAATGATCAAATAGTATTTTTATAAAAACATTCAGAATCCAATTATTATCCCACAAACAGTACTAGATTTTCATAAAATAACAGAATGAATGAAAGCCTAATTTTTTTGAATAATAATGGATCTGAATGAAATTAGCAAACTCAATCCATAGTTTGTGGAGGCGCCAAGTTAGGAGATTTGACATAGAGAGGCAAATATATTTCGCAAGTTCCACCAAACTCTCACAATCACTCTTTCTTGGAAACGTGATCCATATGGGACACTAAATATAATAATGTGAGGAATTGTTGGAAAAAAAAAAAACAATTATGATTATTACTGCTAAAGAAACTACACAATTATTTTCACTAAAAAAAAATTATGGCTGCTAATGCAATCATTTACTATTACGGAATATCATCTACTATTAATTGTTTTCACGAAAAGAAAAGAAAATAATTGAATTAACTTTGCGTAGTAATAATCACCTCGATGTAGTCTTTGAACAATCGTTTAGGGAACCACATGGGTTTATGCACAGCAATGGTGAAGAGAGCCTTAAGTCCCTTAACCGAAGTCGGTAACAAGAGATCCGTGGAAGAACTAAACCCTAACCGGTTCAAGCTCGCCTCATTAATGGTATCGGTCATCGTGGGAATCGAACCAGACACAACGATTGCTCTAACCATGTCCGGGTAAGCCTCAGCGATCTTGAAAGCCACCATGCCCCCGTAGCTAAACCCTACGGGAACAAACTTATCCACGCCGAGGATACGTAGCCCCTTGACCAAACAGTCGGCTTGAAACGCCGGAGACCGGTCCGAGTTGTCGGAGTAGGATCCACCGAAAAAGAGGAGGTCCGGTATGTAGACCGAGTATTTCTTGGATAATGCACCGACTTGGAACTGCCACGTCACGATTCCTTCGCCGGCGAAACCATGGATTAACAAAACGGCAGGCTTTTTCGGTTTATCGGGTTTAGTTGGTTTTCCGGTACAGGATTTCTTCTTTAGGGTTTCCTTAGGGACCCAAAAGTTTATCTTCGTCCCTGGTTCGATCTCTAAAGTGTAAGGAACGACGCCGGCCATTTTCATCAGACCGTATAACAATGGTTTTTGTACCTCAACAAAGTTCACCATTGTGCAACTTCTTTTTTTTGTCGAGAGATGTTTGAAGAGAAGACCAAATGGGAAGTAACATTATATAAACATTTTTTCCATTCGATCTTTTCAAACGTCACTTGTAGAATTGGCACTTGGATTTGGAATTTGTTAAAATGTTTGGTGTTGGGTTGTTAACCTTTGTTTTTCTGTTTTTTTAATTAATCTCTTGACCAGTAGAAGAACACACTCATTCTAGAAACGAAAAGTGTAGTCAAATGTATACATCCATTAGAATTCCATTTATGATATTAAATGATCACTAAGACCAAAATACTAGATTACCACCATTTGATTAGTTGCTTTTGGTATTGTTTTCGTTTTTCATTGTGCATGGTTTTGAGAAAATGACTTAATTTTCTTTTAAATGAAAGATGACAAAATAGCGTTTGTTGGATCTAATTACGGTTAGGGAGATAACGGGTAGATGACCTACACATCCTACTTATATCCGTATGTTACAGTTTCTTCTTGCGTAGCGGATAAGTAATGTATTTGTTTGTATATGAAGTTCTTGGTAACCTAGAGTTTAATAGGTATAGAATCTGCCAATCTGACTGTGGTCTATATTCCAATTTTCAAAAAATAGTTTAAAGTTTGGAATTTCATTTGACTTTGATGGAATTTAGATTAAATGGGCTTAGGCCCAAAGAAAAATCACAACACATAAATATTATCAGGAGCGCTACAAAAGTACAAATTCTGAAGACATTTAATTATGCGAAAACATTTAATTTTCACTAAAGTATACACCTTTTTTTTTGGCGAAAACATTCTTAAAGTTGTACTAAATTCATCAAATTGAATTTTGGAAGACAAATGTACTAGTTTAGTGACTCTTGAGTCTTACTCTCTCATAAATTAATGACTAACAAAATTCGTTGCTCTCTCTTTCTGTTGTTATAGAGTGTAAAAACACTTAATTAACTTGGATTATGTTTCCAGAAACAATCAAATAAAAACAAACGTATTTTATACGATAAACTAAACACGTTATGAAAAGGCTAAATATTCTTCACATGCAATTGGCAGCAACAGTGTTAAGCAGAGCAGCACACGAAGACCCAATTGATGGTCAAATTTCCAAGACAATTTGGGCATAAAACGACAAACATTCATATTGTCCTCCCTGCAGATATTTGTTGGCTTAATTATTTTCTGTATGTTTCTTATTTGAGAATTCGGTTCAAGTATTTGATTGTTTCAATTTGGATAAAAATCTCACAAAATCAGACGTTTAAGAAACATATTTGTGATTTGTGAAGATAGTGTCTGAATCCCAAAACATTCACATTCTCCGTATAAAAAACCAAAGATGATTTTAAAAAGGAATTAAAGGATTACATTTGTATTCTCTATTGTATGTATAATAATAGCACTGAATCATGGTCAAAGTAGGACACACATCATGAAAAGGTTATAAAGTCATGTATCATTAGTTCATTACCCGAGAGAACATTTTAAAAGTCATGAAAGGAAAACACAAGTAGCTTCATGCGAATTTTAAATTTAAGAAAGAAAAAAAAAACACATACACAGAGACCAAAAAAAGACATTCAATATATATATTTAAAGGCAAGTAAAATAAAGAATTTAACCAAGACTTTTCTCTTTGTTAAAACTTAAAAGGTATCCAAGGCTAAGACTTATGAGGAGACAATCAATGAAATGATCACTCATCACATCGTAAAATCGTGGACAAGGCTGGTCCGGTCCGCGAGGTTAAGCCTCCAAGACAAGAACGGATCGGTCGTGACGTCATGATCAACATCTCTGACGTCATCAACGTATGAGTATTCGTTATTTGCCGGCGAGTAATATGGAATTCTCTGCGTATTATGCTGATGGTGGTGAACCCAGGGCGACGATGAAGCATATTGGTTATTATTGTTATAATAATAATTTGCTCCTGCTTGATGATCAAAAGTTGGAACTCTAGCCGCCGTTGATCCTCCGCCGGAGGTAGAGTTTCCGGCGGTCGATGCACGTCTCTCTTCTTTCTTGAATCGGATTCCACACGCATTACACAATGACTGACCAAATTAAAAATCATATAAAGTTATTATCGATATAATTATAGTTATTATTTTTCCGAGTCTAGTACACTGAGCTTAAAAGTTACAAATTCAAATTTTGATGTTGGGAACATGACTAAACCTTTTTGTTGTTGTATAGAAAAAAATACTGGTCTAACTTCAAGAACTTTTGGGTGATAAAATATTGATGTAAAGGTTACATATTATCTACCTTGGGACCTCTTGGACCGTTTCTCCAAAGAGGAGTAGAAGTGGTGTCGCAGTTGGTGCAACGGCGAGCGAGGAGGTTATGCCCGCCACCTCCACCGCCTTTCTTGGAACCGTTCAAGAAGTCCCAACCTAAGGCGTCGGAGGTATGAGAAGAGAATCTACGTTCATCATCGTCGTTGCAGAGGCGAGTGGAGGGAGTTCCAAGTGAGAGAGTGCAGTCAACAGAAGCATAAGGGGAGGAGTGATGGACGACGTCGTTTTCGGCGGAGAAGAACATTGAGAAACCCATCACTATACGTAGATATATGATCTTGGAAACCCTAGAAAGTTGATATCTATATATATATAGAGAGAGAGAGGGACAAAGAGAAGTATGTGTTGTGTTTGGTGTTTATGAGATGAATAAATTCTAAGGAAACGGTGAAAGAAGAGTCAGCCAAAATCGAAGAAAGAGTCCACGTTGCTGTTGTGAAATGGAGACAAGACGTATTTATAGGGAATTTGGGAACTTGGCAAAAGAGGAAAATTTGGTCCCGGTCTTATGTATGTATAGTTGAATTCATTATTCTTTTGTTCTTTAGATTTACATGTGTTTGCTTGCTCCTTTAGTTTGTCTAAAAAGATGTTGCAGTGAATATTTTAAATATGTGTTGGTTTTTGTTCAGTTCTAAGAGTCTTTTATTGAAGTTGCACCATCTCATTTTATTGGTGATCCACATAATACACGTCTAATTAATTCAAGTTTTAATTTTTTTTACTAAACCATGGTTTTAGTTTTACACAAATTTAATAATAGAAATATATTACATTTTTCATTTCTTAGTTAATTAGTTACAGTTTACTATATTTTGCCATAATGTTAAAAAAAAAGACAGAGCAGGGTTAATTATAACAAAAGGTTTTAACCTAAGAAAATTAATTAACTATACTGCTCCGAATATTTATGCAAATTCACTGCAGAGTGTATACTATTCCACCCCAAGTGACTAGTCTTGTTTAACAATGCTAAGCAAACTACAGTGTTTTGATATGTTTATATATATTATTATTATTTAAATGGATGGTAAAGTAAACAAATGATAAGTACATCTGCAGTTAAAGCAGCAGAGGGAAGGCAGTCAAAAAGAGGCACGTGACTGGCAATGTCACGGTCTTCCAAGGATCTGGTCTCTCTCTGATCACGATCATCTCGAAACCCTCTTTCTCTTTCCGAATCTCTCAGTCTCCTTCTTCCACACGTCATCGCTTGCTTCACCAATTTGACGTGTCATACTCTCATCTATGCATGAGTGTATTGTTATGTTCTAAATTCTAATAGTGTGATAATGTTCACCGCACCACGACGATTTCAGTGGGTCTCTAACGACAGAAGTGAGTTTAGATTGTCGTAGTAATACAGAGAAAATGTTGTATGACGTATAATTTATATTCTTTTAAGCCTTAATCAAAAATGTTGTTTTGTATGGGTTACATAATGCCTTGAATGTTGTTTCAATTGTGGTCAAAGCATGAGAGATCGTAATGGCCAAGATGGGAGCTTTTAAGGAGTTAAGGAATGACACTAGCCAATGTTCAAGCTATAAGTGAAATAAAAAGGAACAAAGACAAATGTGACCCAAGTGAGATACTTTGCAATGATTTTAAAGCAATTACAGTGTGTTCTTTCTTTAGCTTGGTGAGAGATATTCTAGATTTCTATTGATTAGTCAAAGAAGCAAACTCCAACTCAAATTTTAAAATAAAAAGGGAAAAGGGTACAAAGAGAATGAACCCATCAAATTAATGAGTATATACTCTGTAGCTCTATAAGCTCTTGTTTTCTTTGTCCTTTATCTTCTTTCTCTTTTTATCTATTTTCGGATCAAATAACGAAGTTACGTTATCTCCAAGAACAGATCTATGTTTTTTTTTTTTTCTTTCAGCACAAAGTAAGTTTGTATCAAATAATAAATTTTAAATTAGATCGGCCGACCCAATTTTGGATCATTTGTCGGAATGGGTTAGGTCAAAATGTTTTTATACTTTTAACCATCAACAAAGAATAGATAAATTGTACGTTTTATGTTTGTTATTTAAGATTCATTATCTTATTTACGATGTACATTATTTTGACATAAATGTTGTGAAAACACTCATTTTATTACAAACATCAACTGAGTTTTGTTAAAACCTCACTCGCTCAACAATGAAATTGAATTTTAAGAATATCAATACAATAGAGTCCTCACTCTATATCGATTTTGAGAAAAACAGCGCGTTTCATCCACGCGCCCCCAAATCTTCTCCCCCAAAGCGATTTTTCTGTGACAACCCTAAATCTCCGCCGCCCTTGCCTCTCCGGTGTTTGGTTCTGACCGACACTGTGAGAGGGCTCTTGGTTACTTGCTCTCTTCTTCACATGTGTTCTTGAAGGCTCTGGAGGGTCGTTTCTTCTTTGGTTCTCGTGGTGTGTGTTGAAGGTTCTCCGTGCGCGACGGCCGGTTTTCCGGTGACTGGTTTCTCCTGCCCTCTCCCTCCACTGCCTGTAGACGGTGCTGGACATTGGTAGAGGCTCTCATCTTCGGTCCAAGTGTCTCGCTTCTCTTCGGCAGAGCAAGCTTTTGTTTGTAGATCTGCTCTAGATCTCCTTCTTCCTGGTGATTTCCGTTGGTCGAGCGTGCTTCCCTTGGCTTCGTCGTGGTGGCGTCTCTCTTCCTGGCTCGGAGTAATTTTTTCCAAGATCTCTCTTGGTCTAACCACCGCGTTTTGGCTCGTGTCTACCGGGGTCTCGGGTTTCTCTGAGTCGGGAGTTCGCCTTGAGGACAGCTTGCCCCCGCTCGCTTGAAACCTCTGTCCGCTACGTGCGTGTCGATTTTGTGTGTTGGAGTTTGAACTGAGAGGCTTTCTTTAGCGCAGTGTCTGGTTCTCCAGCTTTGGTCAGTGTTCTCCGTTGGCCCGCTGTTGCTTCTGATGCCTCAGCCTCTCTTTTCTGTTTCTCCTCCACATAGGTAATCAAAGTTTGGCTGTTATTGGTTTTTCTAAGGTCGTCTAGTTGTCTTCGTCGAGCTTGATTTTAGGAGAACCATGTCTCTGTTGGCCTACTCTGCTTGGGGACAGTAGCAGAATTTTTAGGAGCATGGTTCTTGTGGCTAGTTAAGCTTTGTCGACGATTTGGATGCTCTTTGCCTCCTTTGTGCAGCTGCAATGGTGTTTTCAAGTTGTGGCGTTAGCTATCGGTGGTAGCTTGTTACCTACTACTTTTCAGATCTCCGTTTGCATTTCGGCTCTTTGGTTTTGTTCAAGACTTGTTCTTTCCTGTGGCTTCTTTTTGACAGTGCTTTTGTTTTGAAGTTAGCTTGCTTTCCGTGCGTTTTTCTTTGTCTTTTGGATTGAGCTTTAGAGGAGCTAGTAGGGCTAAAGACTTCTGATGCAGTGGTGATTTTTCTTATCTTGCTCTGCGCTGCTGACTTCGAGGAGGAACTTGGTTAGAGGGAGCTTGCATCTCTGGTTTTTGGCGTGTGAGGTTCCGTTTCTAGGAAAGCTCATGGATTGAATTGAAGAATCGATCTCACTTGAAGCGGGGAGAGTAAGTGATCGTAGATTTGGAGTGTTCAAACCGTTGACGGCTCGGTCTCGGGTCTCCTGCGAAAGGCTTCTAAAGCTCTTGGTCCGTCACTTTAAGGTTTTCCATTTTAAGCAAAAGCCCTTCTACTTTGCACTTTCATTCGGGAAGGATAGATCAGAACGTAATCGCTTCATCTTTTCCCTTTGCTTCATAGCTTTATTTACGGGGTTGAGAAGATGGACCGAAAACTTGGTTTTAATTAACCGTTTATTATGTTTCCATGTTTTTATTCTTTTTACCATGAATCCATATGCATAGGTTTTCAAATCTATGTTTGTAACCTAAACTTTTTCATTATCTATGAAATATTTACAATTTAGAAAAAAAGAATATCAATACAATAATCTTGTTGTAGGAGGACGTCGTGTGCCGCCAAACACGAATGGACAAAATACGTGAAACCGGAAAGAGTATGATGAATATAAAAAGATTAAAAGAACACCAAGAGACCCAGAGAGACAGGGAACAAAGAGAATCGGATCGGTCTTGAGATTGGTTAATTTTTGGTTCAATTGAGATACGACCACCGCTTTCCCAAAAGATGCCTCTCTCTCTCTCTCTTCTGCTCTTTGCTTCGTAGAACACGAAACCTAGCCCTAACGATTACCCCAAGACACTAGGTGTTCGACTTTGTAATTTCACATTACATGTCATGTCTCCTCACCTCACGTGATTAGGCCTGGACATTCGGTTTCGGTTCGGTTGCATTCAGTTTCGGTTAGTTTGGATATAGTAATATAATAACCATTCAGATATTTTAGGAATTTTGGTTCAGTTTTGTTCGATTTGGATATTTAAATAAATAACTATAACTAACTAAACTTTTATCACATTCGGTTTGGTTCGGGTTTTTACTCAAAATAACCGAAATTTACCGAAACTAACCAAAGCTAACCGAAAAAAATACAAAAAAAAATACAAAAAAATAAAATATTATAAAGAAAAATAAAATTTGATTCAATTTTTTAATAGAGTATTTAACTTTGACAAATATAACAAACAATATTTGCATATTTTGATTATTTAAAGTGTTTGATTGTTTTGATTCTAAAAATAATTAATATTTTGAGTTTATAATTATAATTTTGTATATTATTTTTGGGTATCTTATATGTTTTTGGATATTTCGGTTAACCGTTTGGTTATCGATTCGGTTCGGTTCGGTTTCGGTTAGTTTGAATATGGGATTTTACTAATCATTCGGTTATTTTAAAAATTTCGGTTCGGATTTGGTTCGATTTTTTTCGGTTCGGGTTCGGTCGGTTATTTGGTTAGCGGTTTTTTTTCCATGCCTACACGTGACTTCTAATCTTATTATATAATCTAAGTGGGCCGTTAAAGCCTGATAAAGCCTAATCTAGCCCACGTGTATTGGCCTATATATCATATTGTATTTACATATAGTTTTGTTTTCTCTTCGACCAAGTCCCAATAACACAAAATCTTATATAAACTAACTCGAAAACAGATTTTACAACAAGAATCAAACTGGTTTTGTCAAGACCATCATTTTCAACCAAACAAACAAAAAAAAACAATGAAGAAAACACAACCAAAAAATTTAGCTCCAACTATCTCTCTATAAACAGACAAACAACGAAAGGAGCTTTTTCTTTAATTGCACTTTGGGAGTTTTGTAAAAAGAAAAGATGGTTTAGTGTCTTAAACCTCTTTGTTACAGTAATGATGATGATGACCTCTCATCGTCTTCTTCCATGTGATGTCTTAGAAACAGCTTTCATGCCTTGAGAATCTCTGAAGCAGACAAAGTGAACTAACGTTTTCCCATTGGGATAAACAGCAAAGACGCTTGTCCCGATCTTCTTGTTGCACAATGAGCACATGCTATCGCTTGTTACTTGCGCTACTCCTTTCCTATGTTTGTACAGTTCCTCTTTCACCTATTTTTCACATCAATTTCACATAAGGGTTTCTTTTAATGCGAGCTGCCAATAGTTTATAGTAGCATATGCGGTATCAATAGACTTATTCATACTAAGATTTGATTGAGAAAGGTATGGATTATGCATGTGATTACTTTGGCTTCCAGAAACACAAAAACATACCTGTAAGTTTTCACTCTGTCTCAAACTCTTGATGACTGAAAAGTTCCTGTGTGCTTCACTTGAATTTCTTAGAAGGGGTGCAAGGAACGGAAGTAGGTTCTGTATGAATTGGATAAAGAATAAGTGAGCTTCAATAAGATACTAGTAAGTAGTAATGGGATATTAATAAGTCAGATTCAAAAACATTTACCTGAAGTTTAGTTTCTCTAGGTAAAAGCTTGAGGGCTTGTGCACCGTTGATTCTCTCCCACCTTTGGCTCAACAGATCAAGAACCTCAGAGATCATAACGGTGGAGTCTCCTTCTTCCAAGGGTTCTTCAGCATCAACATCGCTTCTTCCACTGTCAGTGCTGCTACTGAGACCAACTCGCATATCCTCAGCACCTTCTATTGCAACAATTTTCTTGGATCGGCCTCCTTTAGCTTTTGAAGATAAAACAGAGTCCATCATCTTTGTAGTCTCTGAACTTTCGAATGATCCTAGAGCTACAATTCGTTTTGCAAAGTCTTTTGCGCTTTTCTTAGGGTTCAGGTATATTTGTAGCACTGTGAGGTAGATATTGCTTGACGGTTTTCCAGATGGTAGATAAGAAACGGACTCATATATACGATCACAGTAAGCCAGCGCCAGATCAGGTGCATGAAGCTATAAGAAAAACCTCAATGAGTTAAGCCATAAGAAACACTCCATAGAATCCATGGATATCTGAATTCTGAATGATTTCACAATATACTTATCTATACAATGATATACTCATCTACTACACCATGCATTTTCATATCAAAGTGTTTTTTAAGCACAACTAGCCAACATTTATAAGCTTATTTGGCCAAGGAAATCAATGATATTTGTTATACGAGGAGATTATCGATAGGTACCTTATGAACATAGATTGATAAAGCAAGCTCATGTTGATTCATTTTACCCAATATAACTGCACGCTCTTCATAGAGAGCATCACGTGGAAGACGCTTCAACAAAGGCTGTGGACTATATCCGGAGATGCTCTCTAACGCAGACAATAGTTTTTTCCTTTCGGGAGGATGATCCTTCTCATTCCATTTCTGCTGCGCACTCTTTGCAGCATACAAGTCAAGCACTTCTGAAAGGTAGATTTGTACCTGTAATCCAAATTTTTAGTGCCAAAAATATGTAATGTTAACTCAATGAAAATGCTTTCCATAAGTTCTATTTCCTCACCATCTCGTTTTGGAGATTTCCAGAAACTGCGGTTTCATTCATAGCCATCATAAGTTCTAAATATCTACCCTGCATATTTGGAGCATGCTGCTTCAGATACGAATTGACAAGGTCGGCTGAGATATTTCCAGACAAAAACAAGTCGATGGTTTGAGTTGGACAGCTTTCCAGGACAAGCATAGAGTACTCCAAGACAAGCATAGGATCAGTCCTGCAGAGAGGCTGCAGAGAGAAATCCACCAACAGAAAGTTAGCATCTCACAGCTGTTTCTTAGAATTCTCCACTTTAAAATGGGAATATAGACCAAGTTATCTTCAGTCAGTACCAAAATCAAACGTGGTTAACAAATTTGTAGTTTTCTTTTCTATAACAATTTAGAATTTAAAGATAGACTAGAGAAAAGGTTAGCACCGAGAAAACCTGCCTTGAGATATTCAATGATCAACTCAGGACTAAATATCTGTGTAACTTCAGTTTGTGACTGGTCTGATTTGGACTCCTCCGCCAGCTGATTAAGAAGCTTAAGGGCTTCATGGTGCATCGAATTGCTCTTGAATAGTTCTAATAGTGCAGAATAATTTTTACTTTTCATAAGAATCTCCTCACAAATCTTAACGTCACAGTAGTTGACACCCTTTAATAACTCTATAGCAGATCCAGACTGGCCAGTGTGTAGAAGTGCTTGGAGAAGAGCTGTATCAAGGATTGCAGCCATCTCTCTGGCACCTGAATTAAGAGGGATCATACCACGTCCCTGCAGAAAAAAAGATGGTACATCCCCAAGAAAATTACTATCAAACGTAAAAATCAAGGGAAGCTGCTTATATTATCTATGCATCAACTTCCAAGGAATTAGTCAGTCAGTAGCTCCCAAAAGCTTATAAAGTGTTATAATCCAAGACCTAGTCATCAATTAGCTATTGCGGAAGATAAATCATCTGCACCTTGCTGGACTTCTTAGACTTAGATGAATCATATGCCCCATAACTTTTACCAACAGCATCCGAAATGACCTCTTCTGTTCCTTCAGAAGTGGCCTTCTCGATAACAGCTGGCCTCCTCTTCTGCAAGTACTTTATAAGAGCCATCAAAGTGTTGTAACTCATTTTCTTAGATTCAAGGGCTGTATTGTCCTCAGATTCCAAAAAATAGCGAGGAGATGAAGACTCCATATCATCTGAAATGCCGGATGAACCTCTTGACAGAGATGCTTCATCACCAGAAATGTCCACCATCTTATCTGGTTGAGGAATAATAGTTGTTTTAGGAAGAATGATGGATGGATACATGGAAAGTACATGCGTGATATCTACTTGAGATGCGAGGAAGTGTTCCATGGCTTCCTCATAGCTCCCATTCTCAAAAAGATAATGAGCAAATCTGTATCATGATAACGAGACAACAAATATGAACAAAAAGATTCCCATGAACTGCACATTACGATTAAAGTGTAACTAGTAGAAGGAAGAGAAAGGCTTCTAGCTTTACAAACCTTGTATGAATCGAACTCTCTTTCGCAGCTCGTAGGCTTGACTCTTCAGGGGGGAGTACTTTGCATAGAGCTAAGGCTTCCTCAAAGTTTCCCGAAGCTGTTAATTGCACAATCTGCGATGAAACTCAACCTTTTCAAAAGCAGCTAATGCGAGTTACATCAAAGTCTCTATAAAGAATACTGAAATAGTGTCATATTCAACCGATGTAACACATTTTCATATTCATCCACATGAAACTATGAGCAGCAAAAAGAAACATCAAAATTCTCAGGGCTAAAGTGAATACCTGGGCACCAATAGACACAGGGAAGAGAACATAAACAGAGTTATCCAAACCAACAATCACAGCATTGTTGCTCTTGACCAGGCGACGAATGTTTTGAAGAACAATTGTCTGTATTAAAGGATATGGACTTCGGAGCAAGCGAACCTATCAAAACAAAGCCAAAAGGCATAAGCACATAACAGGTATCCAGAAACTAGAAGAAAGCCAAAACTGGAATAACACTAGGCAGGAACTCTATATACCTCAACTCGACGAGGCAACAAGGCTATTGCATAAGGGTTTTGAATGACAATAGACGTTGGGGCCTCTGACCAACAAATTCTCTCTGTTTGAAGGAGCTTCCCATTTTGATCAACAAAAACTCCAATGTTCTCCTACATGTACAAGAAGAAACCAATGAAGACAGGTTTCCAAAACATCCTGACCTCTACGAAGAAATAAAAGTTACAAAATTGGGGTCGAGAAGATGACAGATACAATGAAGAATAAATATCACACACAACAAATGCTACCACAATGTTTGTACAGTATTCATAAGAAAACCGAGCAAATACATTGAATGGGGAAAGAGGAAAACCATAACTACCTTTCCCAAAAGAAGTTCACCAGAAGGTAGAGATATCACGAGAGGAGGAGCAACCCTACCAGAAGGAAACACCTCAGAGAGTGTCCCATTAGCAGTGTTAAGTATCACATACTCCTTTTTAATGCCTAAACAGATGTTTTCTCCACACCAAGAAATCGACTTGACAGTATCAGGAACTCCATAGTCTCTGACCTCTACAAATCCACCTCCTCCTAAACAATACCACCAATCAACAGAAACAACTCTTTGTAAAAAAATCCAACCCAATGTGTAGACTCATGATTCAGAATCAAGTACAAAATCTCAGAGATTTTTACCATCGTGCTTGAAAACACAAACCCTCTTTTGCCTAGAGAAACACAAGAACCCACGCCGATCATCCCACGAATAAGCATTAGCACCTTTAGCTTTAGTAATCACAGCAACAGTCTCCAAATTAGGAAGCCCATGAAACGCAATTGACTCAGAGAGAGACAAAAGCAACTCTCTTGAAGCCAAAACTTCCATCGCCACAATCGGTTTCTTAGAGAATCCAGCCACGGTCGTCTCAAGCACGAAAGTCTCTTGATGCAGCTCCGACGGATCAGAGGCAGAAGATTCCGGTGGAGAGTAAATGCGGAGAGAACCGTCATAGCATCCGGCGAAGAGCTTAGAGCCGTAGGATTCAACAGCATCGATCCTAGCGGGACAATCTTTGAGAAGCTGAAACGAATCATAAGCGTTGTGAACCATATCGTCGAGCTTTGAAAATTTTCTGGGTTCTGGGTTAATCACCAAAGATTCATGGTGTTCAAAAGCCAATTGATGGGTAGGATCATGAACCCTAGTCCAATGATTACAAAGAAACGATTTTTATTAATTAAAAAAAAAGTTTCAATCTTTCAATTTCTGAGCTTTGAATTCATTCACTTGGAAGCAGAAACAGAGATGATTGATTTCTTCACAATCGAACGTGCGTTGATTTAAAAAAAAAAAAAAAAATCGCAAAATTATAAATTTAATGAAATCAGGACAGATGGTCCCGGCGGGGCTCGAACCCGCGACCTTCGGCTCATAAGACCAACGCTCTAACCAACTGAGCTACGGGACCGATTGTGAACATTAAGTTCAATTAATATATTTACTCTGTCTTATTTGATTACTTCGTTAGGAAAAACCAATAAGTCAAGAAGAGCAATAATTTAATAACTAACTTGAATACATAAGAACAAAAAGAGATAATCTCATATTTCAATTAATGAACACAAAACTAGTAGTATTACACATGGTAACAATGTTCTCTCACACATACATAAGCTCTTCTAATTAAAACATTCAAAAGTCTTTGGCTCACTAATAAGAAAAAGAGGCAAAGACTTGAAATTATTAATTTCCAAGTTTACCAGCACATTCTAATGGCTCCTTCTTCTATCAATGAGAATAAACCTTTATTCTTCTTCTCTTCTTGTTTCTCTGTGTATATTATATATTCAACTCTCAGCTAGCGGCTGATGCAATAGGAGTTGCCGGCTCAGGAACAACATCGGATGCAGAGAAACCGTTTGGTTTCGGATAGTGCTTCTCCTCCAATCCCCAGTATTTTGCGGTTTTGAGATCGTCTTCACACATTAGTCTTGAGAAATCCTCATGATCATACTCTAGTGTTGCTTCTCCTCCAAATTCCTTGGGGAGATTCTCAATATCAAAGTGTGATGTCATCAGTTCATCACTTGCTTTGTCTTTTGGGTACACAAATTTCACCTTTTCAGCTGTACATGGGTCCAAGAAGTACTTAGCAGCCTACATGAATAAAAGAGTAGGTATATAGTGAAACTTTTTTAAAGACAATGAAAGAGAGACAATTTTGATGGTTGTGTTGTAGTGATGAATGTTTTTTTGTACCTTGTAGACTGCTTGGAAGATTCTTGGTGGATTGTAGAGAAAGGCGATACCGAGTCTCTCAGGGTAATGATTCTGTAGAATGTGGATGATTTCGCGTGTTGTTTTCATAGGAACATTAGCAGCCATAGACCAACCAGTGAAATCGATGAGCCAAGACATTTGTTCTTGTCCCTTGGGAAGATTTAGGATTGCATTTTCAAGAAGATAGACCAAATGCTTGATATTACCTTCTGATGATGTTGAGTTCTGTTTCATAAGATTAAGTAAGTTATGAGTTTTTAAAACTCAAGAAAAAGTTCCAAAAGGCGAAAAATCGGCTTAGTTACCTGCAATGCGGGTCTCATTATAAGCACGACTCTACCTTGTCGATCATGAAAACTAGCTCTTGAAATTTTTCCAGTCTCACCTTCATGTGCTACTTGATTCTAAAGAGAATCAGAAAAAGATGATTCAAAAAAGTAAGAAAAAACAAAAAAAAAAAACAAGAAGAATAAAATGAAGTACATAATAAACTCAAATTTTACCCAACGGATCTCTTGAGGTTTATAGGTTGATCTCCATTTAAGAGTCTCTTCAATCATTTTCTTAGCTTTTTCCACATTCCAATTACGAGCATCCAAATATCTCCTCAATGAAGCATCAGAGCAGAAAACTAAACTATGTCCCGATAGTGGTCCTATTGCGGATTTCAATTCTCTAACCTGAAACTTGTAGAAGTATCTTTAATACTTTCGAAAGTATATATTAATGTTCTCATATAGTAAAAGAATTAAGAAGATTCTTGTACCTTGTTCTCTTTGTGAGAATCATCCTCGAGTTGGTGAGCATTCCTTCTTCTGAACATGTTTGATTAAACAACAATCTTTAAACTTTGAGGAGACAGCTTCAAAGCCTAGAAACGATCAAATCAGAGTTTTAAGTCCAATTTAAAAAGCAAAACTATCTTTTATATACTAAATCAGATCCAAGATTAAGCAAAAAGGTTTTAATAATCGGCTATCAATAGAAAAACTGATAAACACAAGAAAATCTTACATCTAAAACGGGATCAAGAATTCTATTTGTATTTATTTACTACATGAAGATCTCAAATGAGGTATGAAAATTTTCGTTATCATCCAACTTTGAATCTTCTTCACATCTGATAAATAATTCCCTACAAGATAAATATAACTAGGTGTCTAATCTTCTAGAAAGCATGAAATCGACTTGTCAAAAAACATAAATATGGCTATAAATGATTCTTGTAACAAAGAATTTATTACATTTTGACTTTTTTTAAAGCACACAAAAAAACGAATTTAGCATAAGAATTAAATTCCATGAATGGAATACAAAACAATTCTCCAACATCTCATCCATCAAATTTTTCTTTCTTTTTTTTTTGGTCACCATGAAACTTTTTCAAAATATGATAATGAAACCTAAACATTTCTAAAATATCAGTAAAAATACAATCATCACATAGATAATTAACAAACAAAAAAACGAGAAATTTATGAAGCTCACGGAATTATGATCTTCATAAAGAGAGACTTGTAAACAGAAGGAAGCTAAATCGAAGCAAAACGATATGATCTTTCTTTATTTAAAACAAAAGGAATCAAAATCGAAACGTAAAAAAGAGAATCTCATTCTTACCTAATAATACGGATCTTTCTTTCTTTCGTTCTTTCTTCAGTAGAGATTAAACTGATCACAGAGAGAGAGAGAGAGAAAGAGAGAGGATCAATGAAGTTTGGTAGTCACGCGAGTATCATTCCCACTTCAAAGGGACTTAAAAAGCGAGAAACGTGAAGAAAATGTATTATTATTAACCAATTTATGTGGCATGTAAAATTAAACACTTTAAAGCTGGCCCTATGTATGTTATTGTGAAAGGCCCATTGGTTGAAAATAATAACTATTTTTTTTTTTTTGTATATAAATGAATTTTCAATATTGGCGTTGGACCAAATAAAAATCAGATCTGAAATGATTTTATGACAAGAGGACAAGATCCGAAATTGGTGAAGTAATAATTTGGTGATTTTCCAAAATTCTAACCTTCTCTCACGTTTAACAAACTCTTATCTGTCTTTTTTTTTTATATATATATATATTGCTAATTTATTTGTCTTTATCTATTGTGTCGATCGAGAACAGGCAATTACTATTAGAAAACTTACTGAACTCACTAATTAGCTTCCAAGAATAAAAATGTAACAATTTTTCAAACGTATATATTCATCATTATGTGCAAACCACTCTTTCGTGGTTTAGGACCTTTAGGTAGAATAACAAAAAGAAAGAAGAAAAGTCCATAAAAGACAGCATCAGCTAATATTAAAATAATTAAAATGTAAATGTTTTACTCGATCAATTGATTTTTAAAACATTAAAGATTAGGTTTATAATCGCAATCATGTGCGTATGATTTGGTTTAATCAAATCAAAACGGTCCGTGGATTGACATTGGAACGATTACTAAATGGCATAAAATTAAAATAACACCATGTGACGTGAATCCGACACCAAATCGTTTTTTGATTTGATACTTTTTTATCAACTCTTCTACTAAATAATAATGTTATTGGTCTTCTCTCAAATAGGTATAATACTGAGAATAATGTTATTGTATATTATCCTTTTATTTGTACATTATAAATCGTTGTTGTTGTTACCACATCAATATCTATATATACATTTTCGGAATAGTTTCTTTTTATGAATTATCTTAATTTCATACTAAATTGAAAGAATAATTTTCAATTTTTTTTGTCGTCTAGTTTAATTTCAAAATGTAAACGAAGAACTTGAAACAGAGTTTGTAAACCACATAAAATAAAAAACAGAGCCATACATCTCTAAAACATAAAAATTAAAAAGAAAGAGACGATTGAAGCGGCCATTTAATCGGATAAAGCGTGTTTTATACGACTAACAAAATTACGGTATCGCGGCCATTTAATCGGATTGTTAACCGCTTCAAAAGCAGCTATATAGTCCGACCAAATCTTAACGTTGTCAAAACGCAAGTCACGAAACTCTCTGTGGACCAGCAAATACAAAGAAGTTCTGCCAATAACCTGTTCAGTTCCTCTATAATCTCTAGCCTCCTCCGCCCCGCACATATGCACTTTCTCGTTCATTGCCTTGGTTCAGATCTTCTTGTACCCTGAAAGCATAACAATTTATTTTGTCACTGCAAATATAATACATAATTAATTTACTTTAACAAGCAAAACATGGGATAACTTCAATTATTGTGAACGAGTTAGCCTTGATTTATATCCCAAAGGTGATGAACAGAATCGTTTTCAAAAAAAAAAAAAAGGTGATGAACAGAATTTTGCAATCATCTTTCATTAGTTAGGGCTAATCATAAAAATATGACTTTTATGGCTGTGGCCTGTGGGAGTGAATTATGGTCCTTGCTTAGTTGCTTGTAATCCAAATAACACATCTAGACAGAATATCAATGTATAGTCGCCGTTGCTTTAACGATGCTTCATTCCACCTTCCTTCGTGCCGGTTGCTCAGGTAAAAAGAGACTTGATAATTTTAGCAATAACAGCCGATAGGTCAATCATATTCCCTAACTTAAATTCAAAATTAGGATTATCCAATGACATGATAAGGTGAAAAAGGGTAGAAAGCAGACAGATCTGGGTGGATTCGAACCACCAACCTCTCATAACGAGAGCTCTACCATTTTGAGCTTACAGATCTATTAGGTCAAACCTTTGTCCATTTTGGTTTAAGTCCATAGGCTACCGACATTCATTTTAATATAGTTGCTCCAATCTTTCTCCCCACTTGAAACATCATGAAGACGAAAGCCCATGGTTGCAGAGTCTATAATAGTACCAAATTAGACAAAAATCAAACTTGTGACACTTGAAACATGTATAAATCGTCAAATGGAAATAATTTGAAACAGTAAAACCACAAAGTTGCATGACATAAATCAAAGATCAATGCATAGAATTGAAACTGAATTAATGTTATTTGAATGATCCCATCAGAGTGCAAAAGTCTAAAGCAAACTTATTGAACAAATACAACGATAATTCAAAGTAAAGATTAATCGAAACAAAGCTACAGGTTCGAATTGAGTCCAACCGCCATCATACCAAAAAAAATCAGATACCTTCGATACTCATGTTATTTCTTCTCCGGAAGCTAGCTATTGTAGTCATAGCTCTTGACAGTGCAGCCGTGAGCAAATCCAGGTCATATAAATAACATATGCGACTCTATAATTACTAAATAAAATAAAATTCTGTAGAATTGGGCAAAGAAATTTCACTACTGATACTTTATGTAGGTATTATACAATAGTAGATCGATGAATGACTTTACTTACACCAAAAAAAAACTACGAACAATAGAAGATCGATAAAGTGCATACATATACAATTGCATTTCCGAAATTAACAAACATGGTGGTAATCGACAAAACAATTTAATTTTCCATGATTACTTAGTGAAATTATTTTGAGAATAATGATTTGCAACAATGAATTTTGAGTATGAGTGCACAAAAATTAAACCCGATGATTCGAAGTTGTTATGAATACTGGGAGTCAGATTTGTTATACTGTATGATGCAAATAAAAGAATAAAACGTAGAATTAAAACTCAAATTAAAAGTACCTTTGTTTGTTGGTGGATGTTGGATTTTGAATAGGCCAGCTTGTCTCCAGATCCGCTGATCTTAAGATCCGGATCGAGAATATTTCTGTGGTATTCAGAGAATTTTTGAGAACGAATGGAGATCAAAGGAATCAGAGTGTGAAAGAGCGAGAAGCAAGACACACACACACACGAGAGGGGAGAACCCGGGCAAAAAAAATCCCCCGTGCGAACTCCCCTCAACAACCACGAAACTTTTTTTTTTATTAAGGATTTTTGGTGACCTGCCATGCAAGCGCACCTGTCATGGCAAAGGTCGGATGACAAAGATGTTTATTCAGAACTATATCGTCCCTATAAACATCTCATACATCCATCAATCAACTTAACTCACATCAATATCACATATCAGCTTCTTCTCTCTTCTTCAATCTCTCCTCTCTCTCTAGCTCCATCAATAATTGACGAAATCGTCACCTAATCACAAGCTCAGTAGAGAGCATATCGTACATCTGACGAACCTCGAGGCCGATTCATGATCTAAGATCAGATCTGGAATTTTAAATCACCGAATAAATATCATAATTACAAAGAATTCAATCGAATTAAACGAATCGATTATCAGATCCAGTTACGAGAAGCCATAATTACCAGTTCTTCAACCGATCTTCGGAGCTCGACCGCGACGTTCCGTCTTCTGCCGAGGAATCAACCGGAGCCTCTGGATCTCTTCGTATAAGACGCCGATCTTTAGATCGGAAGCAGATCTGTTACGATCTTCATCGGAAAACCTCCGATACGACGATATAAAAGGGAGATCTAGAGAAAACGATGAACAAAAATTGAATGAATCAATGAATTAAGCGGGTATGAGAAACTTAATAAGGTCTACGCGTTGTTATATATAGAGGGTTAGGACTAATGGACGGACGAGATTAATTGATTATATGTAAGATCGACGGTCTAAGATTGATCTTGTTGGAGAGATTACGTGTTTAGGGGCGTTTTTAATGTGAGGCGGTTGTTTTACACAAAAGAAGAAAAAAAAATAAAAGGCGTTTTGGAAAGGGACAGCTAATATGGGTTGTTGGTGTTTTACCGATTCATTGCGTCGTACCTAAGCACGTTTTCTCTTTGACAAATGGTATCTTCGTAGCAAGTTCCTTCACGACTCTTCCATATTTTCCTGTTCTTTTCTTTAATTAAAAGAAAATCACAAAATACTCTTGTTGGCCCACCTTCTAGATAAATCTTTCACTTTAATTCTTGAGATTACGTAGTTTAAAAAATGATAATGGGCCATAAAGTAAATGGGCTAATATAAAGCCCAAGATCAAATGCGGCAGCTGTTCGGAAGCATATTTTACATAGATAATGTATATGCATACACGCAAAGACAAGAGTATGTGCATTGTGTTTCAGTAAAAATTGGAGAGAAACGAAATGAAGATTATCATCACCTTAAAGACTAATTTAATAGTTTCTCTAGCAGAAGTCTCCATGGGGATTATTAGCATTCCTGCTTCCTGTTTGAGATCCACTACCTCTAATCTCAGCATACCCCGGAGGCAGTTTTGGCGGATGAACAACAGGCAAGTTGCTGGAAGATCCAGGGGAGCCAGATGGTCGGAATGACCAATTGATTGTGCTGATACCTGTAGATGGAGATGGATTTGAAGGGAATTGGTTGTGTTGTCTTAGATATATAGGCAATGTCTCCTTATCGCCTAGCTGCTGCTGCTTATCGAGTTGTTGCTTCTCATAGTCCATATTATTAGGTTTTGCTGGCTCGCTTATCATCTCCCCTGGGTTCATGACACTGGCAGTTCCAAACAGCCAAGGCTGTCTGAATTTTGGCTGCTTATCTTCTTTGCCTTTGGGTTGTTGGTAGGTATGATCGGAAGTTTCGATTGGTTTGACAGATGGCTTGTCTCTGTCCACGAAACTAGGCTCAGGCGGATCCGCGGCTCTAGGAGTTGTTGAGCGGGTTGTGGAGATTGTGGTGGTGGGAAATGCTTTCTCTGGTGGCACAGCTGGTGTGTAGTTAGATGGAAGTAGATCGTCCCAATTCTCTAGCAGTTCCTTATAGACTTTGCGTAGAGTTACCTCGGTTAGTCCGGTTATTTTACATATCTCTGCTTGTGTCTTTCTTTTGTCTTCAAGCTGACATGCCAGATAGATTGCAGCTGCAGAAATGCTGATCGGGTTTCTACGGGTGCAGAAGCATTTGTTGATAACAACTTCTCCAATATGTGTTGCTAGTTCCTAGGAAGATTTAAAACAGACAAAGTTTGGATCCAGAAAAAGCATTTGAGAAAAAGTCCAGGCATTGATAAGCTATTCACGTTGGATTTTAGGCCTCTCAAAAAGAAGTATAAGTTAAGTGGCACACCTGAGCAGATTTGTTAAGTTGAAGGAGGGTACAGAATCTTGGCATATGAACTGATATAGAGTTACTGTTGATGGGTTGACTTAGTTGTAGAGCTTCTCCTAAAATCTTGATGTACTTCCCAATTTCCTTCTGCTGTACATTGGCTGCAATGGAGATTTCCTATTGTGCAAAGCAAGACAAAGACATTAGCCAAAAATCAATTCCTAATAATGAAGTGAAAGAAGTGCTACTCCATAAGTTCATAAGTGATGGTCCACATTTGGTTGTAACAAAACTTGCCTCTAGAAAAGAAATTTTCTAGGATAGGATATCCATCTAGAAGCTAATTTACGAACAAAACAAGTCAAAAATATCATCAAACAACTACGACAAATGATAAGAACAGTTATTGAAGATAAAGTACACCAACATGGAAGCTTGATTCCTTCAAGCAAACACACAAGCTTCAGAAACCTAGCATATACTGGTCCTAGTTCTTCAATTCGAAAGTCAAAAAATTGCATTGATGATTTATCCAGAATCAACCAAATAGTCACAACTTCTTTCAACTCAAAACGATGAGAACGAAATGGTTTTCTAACTTCAACAGTCATCAAATTACCCCAATTCATTAGTTGCTACAACGAAAATCCTAAGAATTAATACCAAATATCTTGATCTAGCAATGTAACTTCAAGAAATTGAGGCTCAGTAGCTGAATCAGCCATTAAAACTTGTGATGAAATAGGTTCTCTAATAACCTGAAGAGTTCTAGGCTCCTGAGCTTCCCTAATAGCTTGAACAAGGCAAGCAGTGGCTAAAGCTTCAACGCTTCTGTTTCGCAAGCAAGTAGCTGAGCAACAATCCCTAAACAACTGGAAAGCATGCTCAGAGATATCGCAATCCAACCCTAAAATCGACGCCACATCGATAATCTGCATATAAGCCCTAAGATTATCCACCACAACAGTCGACGAATTCGAATTCGATGTAGACGAAGCGAGTTCTAGGGTTCGTTCGAGTTCAGCGAGATGACCGGAGAAAGAGAGGGAGGAGCGAGCGAAGATCGGGCTTGGCTCGAGGGACCAGGTAGAGAAAGCGGTGATGAATCCAGTAGGTTCGAACGGATCTTCCTCGTCTTCAAGAGACGGTTGCGTCGCCGTTTGGAGATCAGAAGTGACGAGACAGAGAGGAGTGTCTTGGGCTCGGAGATGGAAGAGGTGATGGTTTTGCGTCTGACGTTCTTCCATTACGCGACCGCAAGATGAGCACTCCGTTATTGATCTACCGGAGCTTGTGGTGGCACACCGTCCCTGCGTCGATGAACAGTACGGACACTTCATTTTTGTGTTTCTTTACTTTTTTTTTTTTTTTTCTCTCACACGTGAGTGTGATAAAGCTGTTTTATACGACAAGAGTAAATAAAAAAAAAAAAAAAACCGCGCAAAATCGTTCTTCTGGGAATTAATAAGAATTACACTTTTTTTATTTTGGATCAATTTATAATTTTCCAATATACTAAACAAATTCAATGGGAAAAAAGAATGTTCATTTGCAACAATGGAGACTAGGACTTGAAATTAGGAGATTTTGGAACATTTTTTCGTTATCTCATTATCAAATCTTAATCTCATTATCAAATCTCATTAATTTGGTAATCTACAGTGGGTCAGTGGCAAACGTTGCCTTTGACTTTGCCACTAAACACACAGATTCAGGAGTCCTAAGTTTTGAAGATATCAGAAGAAGAAATATATATCATAAGGATCCATTGTTTCTACATATATTTATAAAAGTAGCTCTATGTAATTACCAATAGACAGAATATAAAAGGAGCAATTTGATTTCGAAGCATGAATTTAAATATTCAAAAATGAACTCTATCCATTTGGTAGTTCATCTTCTGGCTTCAGGAAGTAAGTAGATATGATCTTAAGTTTATCTGTAAAAACGTGTGTTACCAATATCATCATCAGCTACTAGCTGCTGGCTTGTGTAGAATTCTCTTCAAGTTTCTTCCCAAATCACTTGCACTCTGAAAACAAACCCAAAAAAAGAAAAGAGAGTTTAGGTACATCCGAACACTCAGGTTAAGCCTATGAACAATTTAAGAGAAGAAATTAAAAGATGAATCCTGATCAAGAAGCTAAGTTGGGCTGATGGAAGCTCTACAAGACTTGATCAACAAACTTTCACAAAAGGGGTTTAGCAATAAATGCAAGAAACAAAACCGAAAGCTATAGCTATCTGAAATCTCATAACACATTTCTAAGAAGACATAATCTGCTCAATCACATGCTATAATACAGACCAACCAGAATCTCGAAAAAGTAGTAACCTTTACTCTGACACTAGATCATCATACCCAATCTCCAGAAAAACTAGACCTTGACCATTATAAGGTACTATGAGTATAGAAAGTTGATAATGGTCTTTGAATGTTTGGATATCAAGCATGGATTCATATAGCTGGTCATCAATCACAAACAAAGATAGAGTATAGACACACAATCTTTAACAGGTAATAACTTAAAAAGAGTAACACTAAAATTTTAAAGACACAGAACTTGACCATCAAATTGAACAACCAAAGTACCCTCAAGATCTAAACTCTAGATGAACATTACTGTTTACTCCAGCACAGAGGTAAGATCTACCATCTATCTATTGATTCCAAGTGACTAATCCAGTGAAAAAGAAGCGAAGTTTAAAGCAAGAACCATCACCATTGATCTAGAAGGAGGTGGATCAAGAGTAATAGACCGCACCGACATCTTGGCGATTTCACCAATAGCAGCTTCTCTAACCCCAGGAACATCACTAGTGAGTTCTTCATAAGCAGCAACAAAAGCCTCTTGCCAAAATCTAGGCAATTTGATCCGACGACTACTAGTATACACATCCCACATATGCTTCACCACTTTCTCCCTCTCCTCCATTTCCTAAAACACCACAGAATCCAAACCTCAAAATCAGACTACAATCAAATCAACCGAAATAGAAAGAGAGAGTGAGTAAATAACCAGAACGTCAAGGTTTGCATAGTTCGGAATCCCTAGATCTTCCGATAACCGGTTTAGATTCCCGGTAGATAACCGGAGAGTGACGGTGCCAGTGAACATCGACCAAAAAGCCAAAAGCAAAATCGCAGCAAACGCCCAGAACTTGTATCGACCTCTTCCAAACAAAACCGAGTCAGAGTTTTCCTTCTTCGAATTCGCAATAGCTGTTCCCGTCGCCGTACCAGTCGTCGTCGTCGGCAATGCATCGTCCTCCTTCATCTCGATCTCAAATACAAATTACACTCAATAATCTTGCTTAGCGAGTGATGCTAACACCAAATCTGAGCTCTCGTGAATCGATTTCAGTAGATTCAGTGTAATCGCGAAAGTGTCGGCTCGATTTTGTTAAATCTGAGAGAACTTTAAAAAAAAGAAAAAAAACTCAGTTCACTCTCTTCATTCACACTACTGGCCCATTGTTAGCTAATGTAGCTAGTAATAGCGATGTATTAGCCGTTGATCTTAAATTGGTACTTGAAAAAATAATAAAGTGTGCGTCGATCTTGACCGTTGATTTATAATTTGATAAAAGCCACACAAAAGTACATCTAAAACGCAGTCGTTTTTAAAAGATTCATCTATTCAACATGCTAAGCTGCGCTGTTTTCGCCGCGTACTTTATCGCCGTCTCTTTGAAAAAGCGCTTCGATTTCTTCAAGTGATTTTCCTTTCGTCTCCGGTAAGAGGAAGAAGAAGAAATTCCAAGCCACCGCCGCGACTCCGGCGAACATAAAGAAAGCTCCGCCGGTGGTTATCGCACTAGTCAACGACAGAAACGACATCGACACGGTGGCGTTCATTATTCTGTTCACCGCAACGCCGAGACTCGCTCCTTGGGCCCGAAGTTTCAACGGGAAAACCTCAGAGCTGTAGACCCAAGTTATTGGGCCAAGCCCAATAGAGAAAACAGCGACGAAACTATAAGCCGCAACTATGCTCAGTACCAAAGCCCACGCTAATTTCCCGCCAGCGTTCTGGGCCATGGTAAGCCCAAATCCTAGCATTGTCAACGCAATCACCATTCCTCCAACGCTGGTCAACAAAAGCTTCCTCCGACCTACCTTGTCTAACAATAAAGTCGCTGTGAAAATAAACGTCGTTTTCATGATTCCGACACCGATTGTAACCAGGAAAAGCTTGTCTTTAGTCGTGATTCCTGCTTTCTTGAAGATCCGCGGACCGTATAAAAGCACGGCTTCGATTCCGGTGGCGTGTTGGAAGAAATGAATCCCAAGAGCGGTTAAAAGAACTCTTCTTACTGCTGGGGTTGGTCTTAAAATGAGTTCTTTCCACACTCCTTCACCATGAGTCTTCTTACCCTCCATTTTCACAACATCGTCTACGCATTTCGGGTCGATTCCCGCAGCGGATTTGATGTCTTGAAAGCGGAGTTCCGCTTCTTCAGGGGAATTCGATACCAATTCCAATATCTCCTTGCCTTCCTTGAGACGGCCTTGCATAATCAACCACCGTGGAGATTCCGGCATTTTCAAGATCCCGAACGCTAGCACCAGGGACGGAACCGCGGCTATACCGAGCATGAGTCTCCAACCGATATGCATAGGTAACTTGGAGAAGAAGTAATTCACGAGATAACCTAGTAAAATTCCTATACTGATACAAAGGTGAGGCAGAGAAGCTAAGAGTCCTCTATGTGAAGCAGTTGCGATCTCGGCCGAGTAAACAGGAGCAACCATCAGAGCAAAACCAACTCCGAGTCCAGCGGTGCATCTACCGGATAGGAGCACCGGATAATTTGGACCCCAACCCATCATTATTGAGCCCAACATGAATAGTATTGAGGCCAAGACGATTGTGTAACGCCGTCCGATTATGTCCGACGTTCTTCCGGCGAGCAATGATCCGACAAGGGCACAAAGGTTGAGAATTCCGGTGAGAACTTCGATTTGAACGTCGTTTGTCTTCAAATCTTCTTCTATAAACACCATCGCTCCACTCATAACCCCAGTATCTACACAAATACATATCTTATCAATTCTCATGATCATAAATCATATTTCTAGAGAGTAAAAAATATCTAACCAAAAACATAAATCTGACATCAAAAACTTTTAAACAAAGTAAACACGGCCATAATTTTTGATTCCACGGAGTCTAGCAGCTTATTATTCTCTGTAATTTTTAAAGTTACTAACACAAATATAATTTCTATTGAATATTTTCTCAAATTTCAACCCCAATGATTTTGAACAACAAATGTTAGTTTTTGGAGATTTCTCTATTAAATACTTACCGTAACCGAAGATGATGGAGACGATGGAGGCGACAATCGCACATTGAAGAGCAAATCTATTAACTCCGGCCGGCTTCTCGCCGGAGATAATTTGATCGGCCATGATTAATTCACCACCACGTTACCAGAAAATATACAAGAAAACTGTAAAAGTATAGAGACCTTTATCGATCTATGTCTCTCTCAATTATAAGCTTTTATCTAAAAGTTCGTTGAGAGTTTGGTCTTATTAATCTCTCTTGCTCTCTCACTACCAAGGAAAAGATTCGGTGATTATATAGAAAAAAAATAGTTGACAAAACAGAGAAGCTGTACTCGTGAAAGCCACAAGCTAATCTTAAGAGAGGATTTAGTTATTTGAATCCAATGGACAAGAGTCATCCACATGTTTTAATACATATTTATAGAAAGAAACATGTTTTGTGATAAAATACTAAAGACCCGATCAAAGATTCTAATTACAGACCTTAACTACTTAAGTAAATAATAATTAACAGCTTGACCAGACTCTAAACTTGGAAACTCTGTTGTGTAAACCTGAGTTGGCATTAGCCGTTAATAAGTTAAACTTTTGATTTTGGATAAGAACGAATGTGTAACAACGTTGACTTCTTGGGGGTGAATTTGGACTAGCGGAGATTTTAATTTTTTCTCGATTTCGTAAGATATGGGTAGACACCGACACGAGTCCGTTATTATTGGATAAGAGCTATTTCTAATAGGTGCTTTTTGTTTTTATCCTCGTGAAATTTTTAAAATTTTCTTGCTTTTTTTTTTTTTTGCAGCAATTTTCTTGCTTTTATCCTCGTGAATATTTTTGAAATTTATGTCACTGTGTAACCAAACACATGATTTGGCTGGACTCATGGAGTCAACTATGGAGAGTCAGAGTGTAAAACGTCATGGGTCCATTCTAATAAATTTTCAAAGTTTGAAGTTTTAGATGATTTGCCCGAAAAGTCAAGTGGCTATCCCATTTAGATTTAAGAAAATCCAAAAGGGTTTCATTAGTTTAGACTTTGAATCATGTGAAAAGCCAAGTACTTTTTTTGTTAATTAGGGCAACAGCCAAAAAAAAAAAAACTTATTTAGGAGATTTGCTGTATTTTCTTAATCATACAAATATCCTCATGTTGATAAACTTAGGTGAAAATTTTTTTTTGGTGATAACGGGTTGTGGTTGTGGGTGAGATTTGAAACTATAACATACGTAAATGACGTGCTATTGGTTCATACAGTGGAGTTAATACTTCAAGTGTAACCCATCAAAAACTATTTTTGGGATACATTGGATCTTTCAATTTCGTGGAGGATTATTTATCAGAAAACGTCGTCTGTTAGACAACAAACATAACCCGGTTTCATTTGGTGCTTTGGCTTTTAGTTTGCATATGCTTTACAGATTTTAGAGATTGTAGCCGCCAGCATAGCATCAGCTCATTACCACTTTTATTCTTTTAACCAAATTGTCTGCTAAGTTAAAAGCACATTTAAAATCATTTCTAATATTTTAGATCTTGGGAGCTTTTGTCTTTTTTTTCTTTTTTTCTTTTTTTTTGTCAAAGGGGAGCTTTTGTCTTAGAAACGAAAACACCATCGTGGAATCAACTGTTGAAACGACATTACAGTTTATTTACATTTCTGATATAACGTTGTTAATTTTTCAGATTTTGTTTTCATTGTTAAAAGTTGACTTTAGTACATCAAAGTAGATCACGTTTCTCAAAAGCTCACTTAATAATTTCACAGATTTTATTCACCAACTTTGTACTGTTCTGTTTCCGGACGAGTGGTGTTATTGGATTCTGTCGTCAAAATTTATATTTGATTTGTTACTATTAGTATGAAGAAAGCATACTTTTCAACAAAAATGTTCCAAAATTTATATTAAAATAGTATTAAAGAGTCATTAGTGTAATTATTATAATACAGAAAAATAAAAACATACACAAAATGTAGACTATATAGTATTACTTTATGTAATTTTCGTTTTGTTTTCAATCTTTTTATTAAATTTATAGCTATTGATACAAAATAAAATATATAGACTATATGATATAGTCTATATCTAAACAAGTCCTATACTAAACCTCAGCCAGTAAGTGGACATAAGCAAACACTGCGCAAGATGATTAACGTTTTAAACACGTTGACATCAACCTTGGTTATGTGATGATGATGTTGTTGATGAATTTTATTTTGTATCAATAGCTATAAATTGAGTCCGAACGAGATCAAGATTCCACTATACGCGAAACCATTTTCCTACAACTCTACCAAGAAGCAGAGTTTAGCTATACCAACAGGACCAGCTTGACCCTTTAGTTGCAAGTAGAAGAATATGTAAAAACAACATAAAATGAAAGAAACATCATGAAGCACAAGCGTGTAGAACAAAGCAGTGAAACTATATGAACCTGAAAATTGTTGACTTTGGAATTCTAGAGATTCCAACAACAAAAACTTCAAGCTTTTACAAGCTAATTTATGAAGAACGAGAAAAATGCAGGAGCAGCTTATAAATAAACCTGCATACTAGATCATAGTTTTCAACAAGTCTTTAAACAGCTCAAGCAACAAATTAAGATGTTCAATCGCAATGCTATTGAGCTATTAAGCAGCAGCCTCTTTTGCAGAAGATGGAAAAGCATCGGTTTTCGAATACAGCCCGAGTTCCTCCTCAAGTTTCTTCCACGCATTCATGAAACTCGGAGGGAATTTCTTCTTCACCGTTCTAATCAACCCTTTGGCATCATCTATTTTCTTTTTCTCCACCAATCCCACAGCCAAATGCTTCAAAGTGTTGAAATCTGGAATCTTGTGCATATACACACTCTTCTTGAAGATCGCATAGCCTTGCTCGTACAATCGGCTATAACACAGATGAAATATCAATGTCCTAAAAGTAGCTGAGTTGGGAGCACAGTTGTTTCCTTCAAGCCCTTCATACACTTTCTTAGCTTCATCCAACATTCCTTTCTCGCAATACGCAGTCATAAGATAGTTATAGCTAATCGTATCGGGTTTCAATCCCATAGTGCTCATTTCTTCAATCAACTCCTTAACTCTTTCAGGGCTTTCCTTTTGAGCACTCATTATACGGACATTATACGCTGCATTATCCAATTCACAGCCTTTCTTCACCATCTCATTCCACAAGCTTTCCGCAACCTCGAGTTCACCTTTCTTATACAAGGAACTCAAAATGGTGGTGAAAGCAATGGTAGTGACTTCCATGCCTTTACCTTGCATCTGTCTCATAATCTCAATCGCCTTTTGAGGGGAACCAGAGTCACAGTAAGACTTAATCAATATACCATAAGAGATTTTGTCAGGGACGATCTTATTGTACCTCTGAGGAATTTCGTCGAACAGTTGGGGGACTTTATCGAACTTCTTGGAATGAAGACAAGCGTTGAGCAGGGCGTTGAACGAAACAGCTGATCTGGGTGTGCCATACTGATCCATCTGCTCGAAAGTTCTCATGGCGTGATCAAACATAGAGGCTCGGCCATAAGATCTGATAAGCGTAGAGTAGAAAGGTTCTTCTTTGATTTTGGGATCGTTTTTGTGGGATTCAATTAGGGTTTCGATGTCTGAGAAACGGCGACACTTGGCGAGGCGACGAACAGTGAGCTCTTGAGCATAGCGAGATGAAACAGGAGAAGCTGAGTGATCGGAGACATTGGCGTAGATCTTAAGGGCTTTGTCGGGATCGTGTTCTTTCCGGAGAGTGGACTTAGCTTTGGAGACAGAGATTTTGCCTGAAGACGGAGCGGTGGTTGTACCATCTGCGGCGGCTGAGGCAAACCGGCGAACTAAGCGGAGAGAGATACGAGAAGAAGCCATTTTTGCAGTAATGAGTGTTGTGGAGAGTGGTGGCGAAAAAGAAGACGCCTTTAGGGTTTAGTGACCTCACAGAGAGATTTTGGGTTTTACAAGATTGGCTTCTCTTTCTTCTTTTTTTCTTTTATTAGAAGAGAACCACTCTACTTGAATAATTCAATAGAAATTACTCCAACTTTTTGTGTTGATTTAGAACACACGTCACACTTACTAGAGACTTGTGATGTTATTCTCTGGAATGTGAATCATTGATTTTTAATATGAATATTTAAGAAAGAGACCAAAGATTTGAGATAAAAACGTTATAACAAGCAAATGTATCGATCATCTCTTTGTCTCAAAGGGTTTTAAACTGAAGCAGCAAAATACTTGGAAAACTTAAGTAATAGAAAGCAAACAAAGAAAGTCATCAGGCTCCGTAATCACCCTGTTCAAACTTGTCTTCAGGGTAATACACTGCAACGACTTCATTTCCTCCGAATTTCCTACCATTCATTCCGGTTCTTGCCCTCGTCGATCCATCTGTATCGGCATACTTCAAAAACACCTGCACAAATATATATCAGACTGTTAGATTATGACTACATAGAAATATACAAGGAGTAGAGAGAAAGAGAGAGATAAATAAGTTTACCTTGCCAAGGCCAGGCACTGGCTCACCATTGGGGCTTGGACGCGGAATCACAACATTGGTCAAAGCACCTGCATTTTAAGAGTTAAAGAACAAACATTTCGAATACAGGACAAGAAAACAGAAGAGACAAAAACAAGTTAGTTTTTTCTTTCAAGAAAAAGTGGGCCATTGGTGAAAAATAGATTAGAAGGTTTATGCAGTCTCCTGTCTGTGTATGTTAAGGCTGATTCTTTATAGCAAAAGGCTGTAAAACAGCACAACCAAGAAAACAGAGAGACAAATCAATATGCTTTTAATCTTATATTTCAAAATATTAGACCATATTACGCAATAAAGAGGTCTCTTACCAAACTTTCCGCCTTCTTGTCTCATGTCTTCCATTATATCTTCATACTCCTCGTCATCTCTAAGCTCATCCTCAGTAACAACTTGAGTCAGACATACCACAGTTGTTGCCATTACACCAGGCTGTAACATAATCCTCTGCAAAAGAGAAAAAGCATTAGTCTCTTAATCTTATAAATGGAATACTCAAGTTACTTCTCAACATGTTTTTGCATGCTCATTTTGTTTTCTTCCAATAGTCTAAAAAAAAATTAACCTGAAAAGCAATTTGCTGCTGCGCATGCAATAATACGCTCTCTTGTTCAGGCTTTGGTTGCATTGTTCCCTGGTTGGCACGTCTCACTGTAAGAGTCTTATCTCCCATCTTGATACCATTTAGGGCAGCGCACGCGATATCTGTAACAGAAAGATCTTGGTACACACAAAAGGCATATCCTTTAGAGTTCCCTGTTTCTCGATCTTTTACAAGATCAAAGCCCTTAAGGGCTCCAAAGGACTCCAACAACTCCCTGACTTGGGATTCAGTGAAGTAATATGGAAGTCCACCAACAAAAATACGATCTGGTCCCTCAAGCCCACCAGAAGCACCTGGAGTCAGACCAACAGCAGCTAAGTTTAGATGGGGACTGGGCTGGCTTGGACCAAGAGTTGCAGCTAGAGATGGGTTATAGTCACTAGGTCTCCTCACCTTCACTGGAGCTCCCTGGAAAAGGAAAAAAGATAAGCATTCACTTGATAAACTATATACCAAAGAAATGCCAGTACTAAAACTCAACCAAATAAATGGTAGTGCGGTAAACATTAAACGTACCTCAAATATAATCCCATCCAAAGACATAGCGTTACTTGCCTCTTCAACAGATCGCATCTCCACAAAAGCAAACTTCTTCTCGTGGTTTATGTAGACATTAACAACTGCATCACCTGCGAGTAAGAAATTTTTTTTAAAAAAAGATTAATCCAAGCATCAACAAAGGAAACTCTACTATAGCATCTGCACCCGGATTACGTACCTGGACCAGCAGTGTTACCACCAACAGCAGCCATAACTTGACTAAAAAATGTAGCCACGGACTGCAATACATGATAATAAATCAATGTTAGTATCATTTGCTGGACATATTTCAGTGGGAAAAATTGAAAAAAGAAAGTGGATGATAACCTGTTCATTTGCCGTAGGGGAAAGCCCACCGACATAGACTCTGCGAGCATGCCTAGTTGCCTGAAGACACATAAAGTAAATAAGGAGACAATATTAGAAACAGAGAAATACATAGTATCTTGCATATATGATATATCCATGAAAAATAAAATCTAACCTGCTGTGTCATAGCCTGAATTGGCATCATAGAGAGTCCCCCAAATGACTGCAGGACATAGACGAATTAGTTCAAGAAAGACATCAATTAAGAATATTAAAAGGGTAAAGACCACAAACCTGTCCAGTCGGCAACGGAAACATGTTGGGAAACATTCCAGCCCCAGGAAGAGTTGGTGGTGCGGGAGGAACTTGACCTACAAAAGAAAAACAGGTTATACATAAGAAACTTAAATATGAGAAAACCTAGTTTACCGTCCCTGGAAATGTATTGGCGATATCAAGAGGTTTAAGTCTGCATGGTGAAAATATTTGCAAGACTAACAAAACCAGTGATGTGTACTGAGGATGAGCAATACCCATATAACCATTGCAGCAATTCTTCCTTGTATATAAGAGCTAACCAGCCCACACCCAGTGTTGCCTTACCAAAACAGAAAAGCAAACAAGAAACACAAAGACCACCAAACAACCAAAAGCTCTCAGTTCTAGCGTTATGTCCCATGTAAAAAAACAAGAAAACAGCCTATGTTTTTGTAGTTATTCAGGAGAAACAGAATTTATCAATCCCACTACGTGCATTAGGTATGAATTCTACATTACGCTAATGAGAAGGTGCTAAATTAAAGAGATATACCTGTAACAGCAGCACCAGCAGCTAACATTGCAGAGGCTGGAGGTGCCATATCGAATCCACTGACTCGCTTACTGCAACAATATATATCGAGGTTAGAAACTTTCTTAGATTGAAGCAATTATTTCATATAAGAGTAAACCAATGAGAAAAAACTGCTACCTTTTCGATGGAGATCGCTCAGATCTATCCTTTGAACGAGAACGAGATCGACGAATGCGTCTACCTCCTCGATCATCTCTACGCCTAGAAGAAACAAAAATAAGCCAAATCAGTACCCTGCATAAAATCGAAAAAGATTCTATTAAATTGAAAATATAATTTCGAATCAAGAACAGTCACCTATCATGGTCACGATCACGGCTTCGACGGTAATCATCATCATCCCTACCACCACGTTCTCTTCTTTCACTACGGTCCCTACTATGATCCCTGTGACGACTGCTTCTGTGATGACGCTCACGATCTCTGTCTTTCTCTCTACTCCTCTCCTTGCCTTTCTCTCCATCTCTATCCCTGCTTCGGCGAGAGACTTCAGAGTCCCTTTCTCTGTCCCTATCACGACCCTTCTCTCTTTCTCTATCTTTACTTCTTGATGTCTCTCTTTCATGGTCACGCGAGTCTCTCTACACATGTAAACACACACAAAACTCATCAGTTTAAGAATCAATGAAACAAAAGCAGCTTTAACCCTAATCATCTCAATTTTTTGACCCCTACACCAAAAATTCGATTCCCAATTCAATCCAATTGCTAATAAATATAGATTTGAATCTCCAATAAACGAAACATCCAGAAATCAGAAGATTGAAGATGATTCAGAGAGAAAATTACCTTAGGTTTCGAGTCCAATTGATCCTCGATTTCGCCGCCGCGGCCACCATTCTCTTCAGCGTAAAGCGCGTCAGCAACCGTACCGTTTCCCTCGTGATCTTCGAATTCAGTCATCTTTTCGCCGGAATCAACGTTTTCTATCTCTCTCTCTCACCGGAGATAAACTTGGTCTTTGTTTCTGCCGTCGAGATTCGAAGAAAGGGGTTGATGCTGAAACCAAACTATTTTAGGGTAATTTTCGGATTATTCTATTATTTTATAGCCAACACGGGACCGCCTGTGAGGGTATTTTTGTCAATTAATGAAAATAGAAAACAGGCCGGTCTAAATCTAATTAGGCCCAGTGTCCGGTCAAAGATTTGGCCCAATCCGTGTTTGAGATAAATCTAGGTTTTGTAAATTCGCCTTTTATACATGTCCAATATCTCTTGCAACAACAACAACATAACTGAGCATGGCAAGTTGATTTCAGTATGTATTGTACCCAAAAATATGTGAAATCTACACTAAACAATAGCTTATACACTATATATGTGAAGGTGTAACTTCTTGACCAAAGAGTTATCAATAACTAGAAGTAAACGTCGTCACTCAACAATATCTCGGAAACATTTAAACAAAACATAATACAATAAAAACTTTAAACATTGGCCTGGCAACAACACAAACAATACAAACATTAACAAATACACAAGACGAGGAAAAAAAAGAGAGGTCAAAACCAAAGTTCTAACCATTAACAACAAACCAAACACTCTTGAAATCGGCGTTCTCTTTTAATTACTTCTACGGCTTACATCTCCTCTTCACCTGCCATTTCCCATTCTTTCTCCATCGGTAGTTGCGGTTCTAGAGGTTCTTCTTGTGATGGTTGCGGCTGCGGTTGGAACGGTTGTGGTGGCTGTTGAGGTGGCCACCGCTTCCTCTCTTCTTCTTCTTCACGTTTCCTCCTCTCTTCCTCTTCTTTCTTCGCCTCTTCTTCTTCTTTCTTCCTTTCATCATCTCTCCTCTTCCTCTCATCATCTATTTTCTTCGTCTCCTTCTCCACCTTCAGCTTCTCCATCTCTCCTTCCGCACAAGAAGGACATTCCAAGATAACAGCTTCCTTCTGAGCTCCCAACAATCCATCAATCATCACACTACTCACATTAAGCGACGCAGCCAATACCTGCCGGTCAAGCATCCGCAAAGCCGAGTCCTCCCCGGCTAAGAACTGTGGCTCGTTATTCTTAGCTGAAGTAGTAAACCCAACGAACACTAACGAGCCATTGTTGAATGACATTTGAGCCATTGGATGTAACCGTGGAACTGCGAAAATATCTCCTTCTTCTACCTTAAACCTCACGTTCTTACACTCTGATGATGAGTTTGATGATATCGAAGACCTAAGCACCTTAACCATTCCTGCTCCTTTCAACACAATTGAAATCTCGCAAGCCCATGGATTCCAGTGTGGTCCCATCATCGACCCTTGAGTGAGATTCACCATGGAAACGCCAACCATTGAGCCCTTTAAAACTTTCAGATCCTTCCTATTAATCGTTATAGTACGACCGTAAGGGCTCTCGAAATCCGGTTCGGATTCGAAAACATTGAATGTTTTTGCTTTCTTCACCTTCTCTTTCTTCTCCTTCTTCTCTTTCTTCTCTTTCTTCTCTTTCTTCTTCTTGTTATCCACCAAATCTGCGCTTCCAGCAAAGAATTTGAGTAATCGCGGTTGGAGCTGCCATGTGTTAGCCACACCTGGTGGGCAAAGCACATCACTCACGATCAATGGTGGCTTCGTACGATTCCTCATCAGCTCTATAATCCCCTCGGGAACCTAATTTAAACCATTGATTTATCACTTAATACAACCCAAAATATCGTCTGCTAGAGTAACTTGGGAAGTAAGATATACACAATTTGTTTCTTGCTTCCCAAGTTGCCTCGTATATGAACTTTATATAGACACAGATAAAGGCATACCCCAAAAGCTGCCTGGAGAATTGTCTCATCAAAACCAAACATTAGATCTGTGATACTTGAATACGCACCAAAGCAAGGATCCTGCATCCATGGACGACGACGACACAATAAGAAGAAATTAAGATGACAAGAAAATGAAAAGAGAATCATATCAAACTTACATGTAAACACTCCTCGTTGTTGGAGAAGATTGCGTAAAGCCTAAGTTTGGTTCCAAGGAAGATATCCACCGGTTTGCTCTGTAAGTAGAAAACCGAACCGGGACGTAGCCTGTAAACGTCCCCTAGTCTGATCTCAGAACTCTTCGCTTCCTCGTCAACCCAGTTCAGAATCCCACTTCCTATACAAATCACAATCCAATTTTTACCTAAACCGAATAAACTGATCCCTAAACCAAACCAAAGAAATTCAAACAGTTTTATTGTGTACCAGAGTCAACGAAGAAGACCATGTCGGAATGAAGAAGAAGAGGCAGCAAAAGCGTGTTTGGCTCCAACGTTATGGAATGTATTTTGTAAGGTCCCATTCCACCGCATCCATTGCCGATTTGAACGGTTGAGATCTGTCCGAACTTCGACTCGAAGATTGGTTTCCATTGATCTTTCTTTATCAGAAGAGGAGACGAAAACCCGCAGCACGACGGCACGGGGAAGTCGTTTTCTTCCGAATCCTCCGACTTAGCCAATGACTCAGTGCAGAGGAACAAGAGAACGAGAAGAAGAAGAACAGAGAGTGGCAATACCGTAAATCTAGTCATTGTGCTCTGTTTTTTGTTATTCAATGCAAAGCGTATTAAATCGTAGTATCATATAAAGGAACGAGAGAAGAAAGAGAGAGAGAGACTGTAGGGTCGACAATGAACACGTGGCTTAATTGTTTGGACACGTGTTTGCTTTACGTTGACAAATGACAAATGCATGGTTCTATGTAAACAAATTACCGCTAAAATACAAAGTTCAAGTTTGAAAAATCTGGCTGATAAGAATTGTTGATGATAATGTTATGAAGGGTAAGAACAACAGAGATGCATAGTTTATATCGCGCGACAGTCGAATTAATTGACACGGTTCCAAGTGATGGCTATGCATAGTTTTTATCGATACGATGTTGAGATTTGCATATCATTATCAAACATGCTTATCTTTCTAATAGATCCATGTATTATTAACATGTGGTTTGGAATTTCACACATTTTCAATTTCATTTGCGCGAATAATGTATCTCTCAAACTATTGAATTTTGACCCAATAATGATTTGAAAAAGACTTGCAAAAGTAGTTTGTTGTTAGAATATATGGTCATCCCAAAATTAGTCGCACAGTACATTAAGGGTGGAAATTTTTGACAGGCCCAATTTATACATAGTGTTTGGGCTAGTGTGTGTATGTGTGAGTGCCTAAAACCAACTGCACTTGTATGCGTGAGAATTGAGATTCTCATTCTAATCATATTTTTTGGTTATTGGATTCACTCGGATAGAAGTTGAAGATTACTAGAGCCAAAAAGTATACAGTGAATTTTTATTTATTTTTGATAATACCATATAATGAAAATTATTGATATAATTTAGTAATATTTATTTGAGAGCATCGTATAAAAAGGACAAACAGAAAATGAATTACATAGAGAGAGGAATATAAAAACCATGGTTATACTTATAAAAGTGATCGGTTCACCAAAGTTTACACGTAACATCCCAAAAGTGGAAATACCAAAAAATAAAAATAGAATCAAACAATGTTGGTAACGTGTGAAAATTAAAGACATTAATTATGATGCGAAGTGATTTAGGAATTGTGTTTGACTTTTTTGTGGGACGAAAAATATATTCGATGGAAGTGAAGTTGAGGACGTACGTGACTACTGACTCGTGAGTGTGTTTGGTTGATTGTTGGCTCGTGGACAAAACAACATTTATATCTTAAGTCTCATACCTTATATGGTCATAAACAGTTCACATGTTTGGCTCTACGTATAAGTGTGGTGCGCTCTAGCTACAATCACGTCAAATACTAACATACGTGTAATAAAAAAATGTTTCTATTTATAACTAAGATGGATTAGTGAAATTGTAAACGATCAAACAATGAATGATCCCATTCAAAAGTATATTTTATCATGAACAATATAATTTTACCAGAAATCAATAATAACAAAAGGGTAAATTAATAATTTAAAAAACGTGTAAAGTAATATATTCTTGATGGGGAAGAGTCTCCAAGGCATGTTGTGACGTCTCAATGAGTTGCAAAATAGAACATCCTCCGTTTATATCTAATTTCACATTTTTTTTTGTCGGTACATTATTGACTATATACTAATATTTTTATTTTATCTGAATTCTTAATTTAATTTTACGCTAATATTATTTTTTCCACCACCAGCTTTATTCACAGTATTGAAAATACATAGTACTAATTTTATTTAGAAAAAACTGTAACTGAGTTAAAATTAAATGTTTTAATTTGGCCAAAAAAAAAAACATTTGACAAAAAAAAAAAAGACAAAACAAATCTACTCCAAATAAAGAAATATCAATAATATATAGCTACAATCAGTCGATCAAAATTTCAGATTAATTATTTTTAATAAATAGCTACAATCTAATATAATACTTTTGCAATAATATACAGCTACAATCAGTCGACCAAAATTTCAGATTAAATTCCCGTAGTATGCATGGATACTTAATAGGAAAAATAAAACATTTTCTCCGTTACTACTTTAAGACTTGTTTTTGTTTTTCATTCTTGTGGCCTTGTGGGAATGATGTTTTAATGGAGAAAGATCTTTAATTTTTAGTATTTAATCATTTTATTTTATTGTGAATGACATAAAATAGGAATCTACTAAAAAATTGCTTTTGTGAGGCTGAAGCTTCTCTCTTTTGATTAGAAGGAAGAAGCGTCTGTGTGTCGTCTATCATCGGCCTCTCCTTCCTTTCCTTACTTCCTAAGTATTATGACCTTTTTTTGTGTAGTGGGGTTTGAGAAATTATCTTCCAAGAAAATACACAACTGTCTATTTTCTTTAAGAAAATTTCTATTTTTATTAATATTAAATCAGGAAAAAACATTACTACTACATATATAGTTGTATAGAACACTATTGAACTTCACCATTTTCTGTTCACTTTTGACATGTTAATAAAAATGTTGGATAATCAAATCATGTCTTTGATAGTCGGAGAAAGAAAAAAAACATGTTGAGATTACGATACATTTGATTTTGTTTTATTTTAGTTACAGGAAACTAAACACACACGAAGATTGCAAATTCATAAGTCATAACCTTCAAACACCGTGATTATGCGACTAGTATCATTTGAGAGATTCCAATAGATTGATCAATACGCTGATGTTTTGGCGATATTATTACCGGTTCTCAGCACAACAACGTAATATTATATTTATCAAAACAACTTATGAGACATTATATACTTAGTATAAATCACAGTACATATTATAAAATTACCAACACAAAAACGAATAATAAGAAAGAAACCTTTGGCAGTGGGACAATTTTGGTAACGAGAGGATCCATTGGTCGATCAGTAAAAGAATATTGTCAGAGTGGGAATATTAGATATGAATATGATCATCATTCCTTTATTTTAATATACAAAAAATCATCACGTGTGTTAATAAATAGAACTTGTATTAATTACCACCATTATTAATGAAATATTATTTTCTTTTTTTGACAAATCCCAATCATGTGTAGGTAAGATATTGTCATATTGGGATCACCAAAAAAAAAAAAAGATATTGTCATATTGGAGTTTGGAGACACTATTAATTATATGCAGAACATTTTTTTTTTGTTTTTTTTTGTTTCGTCTCTCACATATGAAAACGTTCGTTAATTACCCAATATAAGATGTCGGATTTAAATAAATAGTTGCACACATAGGTCCATCATATTTGAGGGAATTAGCTGTATGAAAGTATTGACAAAGATCAAAAAGTGATAGTCTAATGATTTTCAAGCTAATAAGACGTATCCTTTTGGTGGTCTGAGGACGAACTCATTTCGGAGCATAATGAAAACATTGGTCTAACATTGGCAATTCAATTTGACAAAAATAAAGGAATAAAAATACACATTTGACAATTCATTTGGCGAGTGATTTTGTTCCATACATGAATCATTGATTTTGTATTTTATTCCGCAAATATAAAATACTCCCTCTGTTTCATAAAGAATGTTATTCTACACTTTTACACACATATTAATAAGATTATTAAAATTTCTATTATACTCTTTATTAATACACTAAACAAAATTATCTCTTATTAATACATTGAAGAAATTAGGTTAAAATTATATTTTTACTCAAAATTTTGCATTGAAAATACAAAATGACACTCTTTGTAAAATAAAAATAAAACCTTAAAACGATACTCTTTGTAAAACGCATGGAGTATAATAAGAACTTTATCCTCAAAATATAGTTGTTAAGCATGAGATTAGGATACAAGTGGATCCCATTGCATGTAGGCGTTCACACGGTGGAATATTATACTTGATTATTTCTCTTAAACTTTTTAAAAACATAGTTATGTTGTTAAGTAACAAAATGTGGATTTAGTCATTAATTTAATAATAAACAACTAGGAAAGTTGCCACAAAAAGAACTTTAGTATTTTAGTGTGTTAATTGAGCCGCTAAAGATTAAAAAGATAACTTTATGTAAGAAAAAAGTCGAATTATGTTAGAAAAAAAAGTGTAATAATGAGAGGAACTTTTTCTTCAGTTGAATAATGTCGCAGTGAGAAGAAGCTTTTCTCCACGAGATTTATAAAATATAAACTAGGCGATATATTTAGGAAATGATGATTTATAAACCGAATAAGATAAAACAATTCAAATTACAAGAAGAAGAAAAAAGTATATTCAAAAGAATGAGGAATGGGTTTTGTTTTCTGGTACACCAACGAGAAAAAGAAGACAAAAAAAAAAAAGAGAAAGAAAGATAAATTTCCATGAAAATGAAAGCTAATAAGTGAAGAAGAGAACATATTCTTTTCCTTTGCAGCAGCTTAGAGAGAGAAGTAAAGGAAGAAGTGGGCGTGATTCTTACGCGCTGACTTAATGATCAGTCAATCTCTGGCCCATGGGCTTCTATGTCATTTTGTCCGACATTATTACCTCAAAAGTTAGCCCATTGTGGGCCCGCTTTCTTTCCCCCTGCTTTTTACCGTGAATTATGTGGGCTCCACATAAAGCCCAGTGGTCACTCCCTTTTTTTCTTTCCTTTTTTGTCGCAAGCAGTGGGGATTAGTGTCCGTTAATCATCATCGACTGAAATTGTTTAATGCAATTTTTTCCTCATTTTTTGGGTTATCAATCCGATAAATTTCTCTAGCTCTTGTAACTAGTGGGAGATTATGTGTTATATACTAAATAAATACATAATTTTTGTAGTTTATGTGGTACTAACAATTACGTTTAGTGAAAACCAAAACGACGTTGTAGAGTTTGTTTAGTTAGAATAATTTTTTAACTTTCGATATGTTTGATTTTTTTATTTCTTTTGGATCACTTTAATCGTCAAATGTAAACCAAAAAAACTTTCAGTTAAATGTTTTTGTAAATAGTGTTTACAATTTTAGGATGAAAAGACTAAAAAAAAAACCCACTGAGACCAAAAAAGAGAAATCATTAACCTTTTTTAACTTCCTTTTTCTCTTTTTTCCAGCTTTCACCTTCTTGATGATCAACGTAGTGGAGCTTGGATCTCTTTCAATCAAATGATTTATTTTATTTTTAAAGTAGAGAAACTTTATTTGTATTTTTAGCCCTTTAAAGAGAAGTTTCCTTTTTATCAGCTGGAGAAATTGCTAGTTGTGTAAATTAGTATATAGTTTTTGGGATACATAATGAGAAATCAATAATAATTTTACATATACTATTAAACATAAACATACAAAACAAAAACCGGTTGGGGATGTGCCTTTAGTTAAGTGGTTAAGTCCATTTGAGTCCGCATTTTCCACCAGAGTTCGACTCCACTAAGTCGCGTTCTTCGCGTAGTAAGGATTGGCTATGGATCGGGCCTTGTCGATCTATAGATGTAAAAAAAAAAAAAAAAAACCGGTTTAAATCTTTCAGTTGGATTTCATGTGAAGAGGAAAATAAAAAAACGGAATCATATACAAATCATTGTCAATCAGATTTTTTTTCGTGTATACATTATTATTCTGTAAACCAAATAAACCCGGATTATACACGGTTCCCAAAGTTGAAATCTTTTTTTTTTTTTTTTGCACGCACTCCCTCAAAGATAAAAAGCTTACCACTCTCACCTTTCAAAAGCCCCGCCACCTTCTTCTTCTCCACACACAAAGAAATAGTAAGAGAAAGACGATCTCTTTTTTCATTTTCTTTTCTAAAGGTTTCACCTTTCTTCTTCTTCTTAACAACACAACACATGAAAATCCCAGCTTCTTCTCCTCAGGACACGACCAACAACAACAACACTAACAGTACTGATAGTAATCACTTATCAATGGACGAACATGTCATGCGTTCTATGGATTGGGATTCTATCATGAAAGAATTAGAGCTTGATGATGATTCTGCTCCTAATTCTTTGAAAACCGGTTTTACTACAACCACCACCACTGATTCTACTATTTTGCCTCTTTACGCCGTCGATTCAAATCTCCCTGGCTTTCCCGATCAGATTCAACCGTCGGATTTCGAATCATCATCCGATGTTTATCCTGGTCAGAACCAAACAACCGGGTACGGGTTCAATTCTCTTGATAGTGTCGACAATGGAGGATTTGATTTCATTGAAGATCTCATCCGAGTCGTGGATTGCGTTGAATCGGACGAGTTACAACTCGCTCAGGTGGTTTTATCACGGCTTAATCAGCGCTTGAGATCTCCGGCGGGTAGAGCGTTACAGAGAGCTGCGTTTTACTTCAAGGAAGCTCTCGGTTCGCTTTTAACCGGATCAAACCGGAATCCGATCCGGTTATCTTCTTGGTCAGATATTGTTCAGAGGATCCGAGCGATCAAAGAATATTCCGGGATTTCTCCGATCCCTCTCTTCTCCCATTTCACGGCGAATCAAGCGATACTCGATTCTTTGAGCTCGCAGTCATCTTCTCCGTTTGTTCACGTGGTGGATTTCGATATTGGATTCGGTGGCCAATACGCATCGCTCATGAGAGAAATCACTGAGAAATCTGTTAGCGGCGGATTTTTAAGAGTTACGGCGGTGGTGGCGGAAGAGTGCGCTGTCGAGACGCGGCTGGTGAAAGAAAACCTATCTCAATTCGCGACGGAGATGAAAATTCGTTTTCAGATTGAGTTCGTTCTGATGAAGACTTTCGAGATGTTATCTTTCAAAGCGATTAGGTTCGTTGAGGGAGAGAGAACCGTCGTTTTGATTTCTCCGGCGATATTTCGTCGTGTAAGTGGAATTTCCGATTTCGTGAACAATCTACGGAGAGTATCACCTAAAGTCGTCGTTTTCGTCGATAGCGAAGGATGGACAGAGATCGCCGGATCTGGATCGTTCCGGCGAGAGTTTGTTAGTGCTCTTGAGTTCTACACGATGGTGCTGGAGTCCCTCGATGCTGCAGCTCCTCCCGGAGATTTGGTGAAGAAGATCGTTGAAGCGTTTGTGCTACGACCTAAGATTTCCGCGGCGGTGGAAACGGCGGCTGATAGGAGACACACCGGTGAGATGACATGGCGGGAAGCTTTCTGCGCCGCCGGAATGAGGCCGATACAGCTAAGCCAGTTCGCCGACTTTCAAGCTGAGTGTTTATTGGAGAAAGCGCAGGTTAGAGGATTCCACGTGGCGAAACGACAAGGAGAATTGGTGCTGTGCTGGCACGGAAGAGCACTAGTTGCCACATCAGCTTGGCGGTTTTAGATAAACCGGGTTTGGTTTAAACCCCTAATATGATATAGAAGAACAGAATTGTATCTACCTTTAATTTTCCTTTTTTTTTTTTTTGTTGTGTCTCTTTTAAATAAAGGAAATAAAAGTATTTCTTATTAAAAGTCTCTGTTCGAGCTAGAGTCTTTTAAATCATTCATAATCTCTTTATTCAAAAACACAAGTGACCTTTTTTTTCGAGTGTGGGAGTTCGTCGTCAATTTGGTAAACCGACGTACAAATCGCCGATGAGCGGGTTTGCTTCACAGATTCCATCGATGGCGCTTCTTGGATCTGGCCTCACCGGCGAGGTAATCTTCCTTCAGCTTGATTGATGTTTCCGCTTGTACGGATCCGTGATTTGGGGATTCGTGACAAAGTTTATGATTACCTTGATTAGATATGTATGTTTAGGAATCCGTCATCGTCTGCCTTGTTTGAATTCAGATTTATTCTGTAGTGGATTTGGTTTTTACTTTTTGACAAAAGTCGATTAGAGAAAGGGGTGTTTCAATTCCTGAACATTTGGATATTCTCTCAACTTTGGGAAATAATTGTTGTTTTACTCTATGGAATTTTCAGGTTGGGTTGCGTGTATTGCTCTCTCCACTTAGTTCCAATATCGTACTTCGCACAGCATGGTGAGTTTTTTTTTCTTCTTTAGTTGTAAGGTGAAGAAAGCTATCAATGGAATATTATTGGAGGAATGATTTGATTGGGTAGGTGATTTATGATGTTTATGATCTGATTGAGTGATTCTCATTCACATGTGAAGCAATGCGGTAGGGAGGGAGTTTTTTTTTTGGTCATGATTATTAACTTAGCCGAGTGGACAAGAGGGTTCTACAACTTGTTGGGATACTTTAGGGTATCTTTTGAACTAGAGTCAATCTAATGTTGGGGAATCTTGGATTCTTTTTGTTTTAGCCGAGTTTTTGGGTTCTTTTGTTATAGCTGTAGATGACTCAAGGATTCGGTTATAAAGGACACGTTTGCGGTATGTCTGAATCTTGTTTCTTGCAGCTGCTCCATTGGCATCGGGTTGCCTGTGTACTCTACCTTCAAGGCAATTGAGAGTAGAGACGAGAATGAACAACAGAGAATGCTAATTTACTGGGCAGGTGGGACATTGTTACTGCAATTTCTATGACCTTTTTAGTTTCTTTCCTCATCTCTTCTTTGGTTGTTCTCTACTGTTCTTATGCCGTTCCTCTTCAAGATTTTATTGCAATCTCTTTCACATGGCATCTGATATATTTTTTTCTCTCTCTCTTCACCTTCTGTGCAGCTTATGGTTCTTTCAGCCTTGTTGAAGTATTTACGGACAAGATCATTTCTTGGTACGATTGACATCTCGAAACTATCGACATAGTTTGATGATTTAGCAGTATAATATACTGTTTCTTCTAATGGACTTTATCAAGAAACAGGGTTTGACTAACTCGATATTATTTGTAGGTTCCCGCTGTACTATCATGTGAAGTTTGCATTCCTCGTCTGGCTTCAACTCCCAACAGTCGAGGTACCTTTCCCTATCTCTTTGAAACCATCATCTAACGTGTAACAAGCTTTAACCTGGTACTCATTCTGCTATTCTCAATTTGCTTGTTTGCCTAAAATAGGGATCAAAACAAATATATAACAACCAGATTCGTCCTTTCCTCCTACGACACCAAGCTAGAGTGGACCGACTCGTGGATGGAGTATATGAAGAAATGGTACATAACTGCTTTCTTCAGAACTCCATATTCTTAAGTCACTTTAACAAATGCTTTTAAACATTTGCAGGTGAAGGTCGTTAGGTCACACCAAGGAGAAATACGGTTTGTCCGATCAATGATTGTCAAAATCTTCGGATCAGGTTTGTTTCCGAACTCTATTTTGCTATCATTTTGCTATCAGGTTATTGAATTGTCTATTTTATTCGTACTGTTGTTCCAGCAGTCAATGAGGTTGCACCACCAGGCCAACGACTAGGAGAAATAGCAAATGATAGCCCCGAACAAGCAGAAACAAACTCGGATTCAGAATCCGATTCCAATCACGAAGACTAATAAAACAAAGTGTAATCGTAGCTTTTGCAGCTTCTACAGTCTTATAGGTCAAATCTCTATTACACAAAAATGTCAAACGATTGTATAGTTATGTAATCTCAAATAACTTTGGACTAAGTTTTTTTTATCCGGTGTTGAAAAATCCCAATAATCCGTTATAAAATTCCATGTTTCCTACGTGTTAATTTTTTCCTTCACCGTCAGCAGCATTCTGCTCTAGATTAGCTACAGCCTCTGCTCCAAGCACTCTCTGCAACTCATCCTGTAGTATTCGATGACTCTCGTGTAAATGCAAGCCGAGAGAAATAAGGTTAAAAGTTGGAAAGAGTATGATTTTGGATAAGAGTTTGTTACCTGGATTGAGTTGTTCTCAGACTTGAGCTTTTCACATTCGCTTGAGAGTCTTTGTAGCTCATCTCTCAGGCTTTGATTCTCGTTCGACAAACTCTCTACTCTCTGTTGAAGTTGTTCGCATTCCGCCTATTCGAAATGGTTTATTATGAAATGAGCATTACATAAAGCAAACAGAGTAAAATGACACTAACACAGATATGTATATTACCTGCTTCCGCAATCTAGACCGCCTAGCAGATTCACGGTTAGACTGTTTCCTCTTCTGCCTCTTGAGCTCTCGTTCATCCTGTTGGGTAAACAAAGGATTTTGTAAGGAAAAATATAGCCAATTCACAAAAGCTACTTTGCAGGGTGAAATGATGAGTTGGTCACACCTTCACAGGTACACCAGCTTGGGAAGACCATAAGTCCATCCCGATATTCAGATTAGTCCCCGGGGCTACCGGCTTCATGGGCACCGAACCTTGGATTTCACCAGTAGTACTTTGAGAACTTGCTGTTTAAGGAAACTTTACAAAGTCAAGAAACAAGGGAAACACAAGTAAAGGAAAACCACAAAAATAAATCAGGGATCAAAAGCATACCGTCCGCAAGCATCTGTCCAAAGCTCGGCTTTCTAACTGAACCTTGTTCCTACATTAACATGAATCTCAATTAAACAGAGCAAAAAGCATTGAAGAACCAGAGAACACTTCAAACACATAACAGTACCTGTTGATTGGCATTGTCATCATTTTCATCAGATGAACCCGCTGTGACACTGTCATCACTGCACAACGGAAAGATCATAATTACATCAAAGCTTCCTCATGATCTCTGCATAAAACACTGCAATCAAACTGAACAAGTAACACGTTAAATAGAGTGTTATTAAAATCACCTATGAGAGACACCATCGTTCCCTGAACCAGAGAGCGCTTTGTCACCTCCTTCACCCTTTTTTTTCGAGCTCCCCTTTGACTTCTTGCCAGAAGCTTGGTCCTTCACAGTCTCCTTGTTGGTTGGACCAGAATTAGGAGGCTAAAACAGAAGAATGTCGAGTAAGTATTTTACTTTCTCATTTATCTATGCATGCCATGTATGATGTAACAGAGCAAAAAGCTTTAAACGATAGCTAAAATTTATGTTAATAGTATGGAGATTACCATGGGCATGCTAGGATGAGAATAGACTGCTCCCGGGGGATACATTGCTGGGTACGGTACTGGGGTCCCATAAGGCGGCATCATATGGTGCTGAAAGTATTGAACAACAGGAAAACTCATTTATTGTTATCCAAAGACAAAGATGCAAACTTTTTTATCTAAAGAATCACGTCAACAGAGATACAAGGGAAGCTTACTTGAGCGCCCCACATATAAGCGTGGGGACTAGGAGATCCAACTGGGGATGGGAAAAAAGGATTTGGCGTACCTCCTCCGCCATAATAAGCCTAAAAGAAAGAAGCATACTATTATGTTCGGCAGTCATTCCGAGAAAGAATTCACTAGACTATGAAAACTAATAGTGGCTAAAGTTGTGCATGTAACACGAACCTGCATTGAATTTGACCAATCTGGATACGGTGTGGGAGGAACTTCCTGAAAACAAGAGGTAGATACATCAAACACCTTAAAATTTAAAACAGCACAAGAGCAGGAGCAGGGGCCGTCTTCCTGAAAAAGAAAGGAGAAGAGAAGGATCAACCTGAGCCGAAGATGTTGGTTTGGTAGGCTTAAATGGCATCTTGTCTTCGCTCGTTCCCATTGTGTATAAGCTTACTTACTACTTACTCAAAACTATAAACAAAAATCAAGAATCTGTAAAAACAAGAATCTTGACAGATAAATAATCATCATAAAACATCACAAGAAGATTAAATCCAAAACTCAAAATAAAAGAATAAAACTTTTGCTTTCAATTGTACGTAGTAATCAATGACTTCTAAAACAGAACAAGAGCAAGGCCCCTGTTCTAAATACTCGAACCTACAAAGTTCCAAGCTTTGAATCATGCATCAGTATTAAATCACACAGACTTCAGAAACCAAAACCGGCCCTATATTACTAGTGAATTATCATCTCTTAAAACAAGCTCTATTTGCATAATTGATTAACGAATTCAATTCAAGTTCAACAGAATCTGTTACATGCAAAGGTGTTTAATTGTATAAAGAAATTAAACGAGAAAAAAAAAACAGACCAGCTTCTCTAATTGAGTTAGTGATGTGGAAGTCCAGCTAGGATTTTTATAGAGCGAGACAAAGATGCCGACACGTCCTCTCCGACAGATCAGACAAAACTCCGGCTCCGAAGAAGTCCTGATTGTTTTTTTTTCTTTTAAGGTTTTACCTCTTACTGCTTCATTGAATCTGTCGGAGAGATTTGATTGAAGAAGCCAAAAAAAAGTGAAAAGAGGATTGAGATTCTCCGATCTGGTGTGGCAAAGTCCGATAGAAGGAGAAGAATGCGAAGAAAGAGGAAAGTTTTTTTTGGTTTGGGGGATTTTAGGGTTTGATGATCTGACACGTGCGACAATGAGAGGTCCAGCTGTACACGTGTTACTGGATAAGGTTTTGACACGGTAGCTACAGTTTGGTGTGACTCATCTACTCATTTATTTCGTTATCATTATTAGCGATCTTAATGGCGAAAAAAAAATAATATATTAGCGATCTTAATATACCCCTAGATTAAATATTAAATATATTTTTGTTTTAAAAAAAAAAAAAACAACAGAGCGAGAGAGAAAAAAAAAACAGAAAGCTTCGTGGATTCCTTCGATCACCGCTGTCCTTCCGATGGTGACACCGGTAGTGTAGTATAACTTGTTTTTTTGCTTCTTTCTCTCTTATCTCTCATGTGTTTCCTTCTACTCGAGCAAGGGTTAGATTTTGTCTCAGATCTACAATTTTAGATTTAGATTTATTCTAGATCTATGTCTATTTTGGGGTTTGATGTTCGTTTCCTCCCTCTAGTTGTTGCTGTCTCCGGTGGTTGGTATTCAAGAAATCAACGGCGTGCCGTTTTGGTGAGTCAACAATTCTGGAATTTGCTCGCCGACGAGGAGAGGCGGGTTTGAGAAGTCTTTAGTTTGTTTTTGCTCTGTAATTTTATGAGATTATGTCTTTTCAGTTCATTCCTCTTTGCTGGCCTTTCCCTAGGACTTAATCGAATCGCATCCGTCACCATTCCTTCCCTCTGAAAGCTTTGGTGAGTCGATTAAGCGGCTGTTTAGTCTCCTCCACACGAAGTTAATTTCAGGTTTGGTCGAGACCTGTTTTGTTTGTGCTGCTTCCTAACCGGTTCGACATATGTTTCGATTTCTCCGGCCCCTGGCAGTTTCGTCGGTCTTGTCAATTATCTTTTGAAAGATTCGTCTTGCCATCCCAAGGAAGCACAAGTTTCAAATTTCTGAAGTCTACCTACATCAAGCAAGGATAAGTAGAGTTAAAGCCACGGTTGGTTATTGTCGGTGTTCCAACATGTCTAATCGTTTTCCGCTCTCGGGTTTGGACTAGTTTTTGAGTTTTGAATAGTAGTGTTTGCATATCTCATTTAAGAGCTTTTGTTTGTATATGAAGTTATTTCTCGTGTAGTCGGGCTTTGTTTCTCAAGATTTCGAGCTTAGTTTAGTCAGAATCTGCGGGTTTTGTCTCTCGAAATTTCAAGCTTAGTTTAGTTGGAGTTTGCGAGGTTTGTCTCTCGAAATTTCAAGCTTAGTTTAGTTGGAGTTTGCGAGGTTTGTCTCTCGAAATTCGGAGCTTAGTTTAATCGGAATTTGCGAGCTTTGATTCCGGTGTCTCCGGCTTATGTATTTTTCCCTTGTTTTTAATAATACCAGATGAAAAAAAATAATAATAATCAAAAGATGTCAGAAAAAAGAAAAAAGTCAACAGGTATCAATTGCTAAAACAATTTAAAAACAACTAATACTCGAGACGGGCCCTTAATTTTTCCCTTGAGCCCATTGGGCCTCGTTTAGTAGTCCCTAAAATATTTCTGATAATTCTTTTGATAGGTGCTAGAATAAGAAGATGTCCTAAACTCATCAAAGTTTTGTAATTTTCTGTTTCCAAATAAAATTTAAATATGAATATGCATTATCTATAAATAATTGATTTTCACAGAGTTTATAAAATAAAATGACAAGTTTCTTTCAGATTTAATAGATATCAAAATTCAGTGCACTCTAAACAAATCGGTTTGCTTAGGTAAATATAGCATCTTTCGTAGAGCATTAGCGTAACCATTACGTAGTTGATGTGATAGATCCCAAATGAAAAAGGTCCAAGACATTTATTTTTAAAATCTCATCATATGACGACTCAAACAATATCATACAACACATTAGATACAGTGAATGTGTTGAAAGTGGTTACGAGTACTTAAAACGAACCCATTTTAGAAAGAGCCACGACATTACGTTTTCTTTACACTTCACTTTCTATATACCCAAACTACATTAAATCCTTCACTTATTCGCCAAACACTTCTTCGTGGGTCCATAGTTTCTAAACTTTATGAGACCATAATGTTTTCGGTCGATAATTTCAATTAGGATTTAGTATATGTTTATATCAAAAATATCATAACGTCGATCAAAATCCAGAACCAACTTAATCAAAGATCCTCTAATCATGGCCAAGAAAACTTTAATTTTCAGATGCACTTGTAAATTTTACAATGACTCTTAGAAAAAGATCTAGATCATAGAACCTCTATTCATGTCCAAAAACTTTGATTTTTTTTTTTTTTTTTTTTTTTGCGTTGATTAGAAAACGATGTGTCGAAGTCTAACACATTTAGAAATGCATGACAAGACGTGATAGTTTTTGATGACTGATAAGAAACTATCACTTTATATTATGCGATCCAGATCACTAATTATCATGATCATGAATATATTAATTATAGAGCAAATATGACTGTTCCCTAACCATAGGTACACATTAGTTGTCAACAGATCTATAAACCTTGACTCAAAATGTTTTACCAAAATTAGTTATATTTTATCCGAACTCCCCTTTTGTTTAAATTTGGCAAACTCTTATCCATCGAGATAAAAAGTGTTAACAACCGTTTTGCTCATCTTATCTTCATGTGCATGTCATCTAGTCCTTTGTCTTCTACAATTTTAAAAGCATAGAATTTTCGAATCTTGCAGCCGATACTGCTTTTATGACCGCACTTTTTTCTTGGTTATAGAAAATATTTATTCCAAAACCAAATTAGTTTACTTATTATAAATAAAATCATAACGAATCTTGGTTAGAAACTTAATCTTTATCCAACAAAAACTGGCTAAATGCTTTTAACTACTTAAGCAATTTGTTGCTTTCATAAAGACAGCCAAATTACATTAGCGAGCAACCCATCGTCAATATATTAATTTGTACAATAGAAATTCAACAGTTATATAATCTACTAAATTTACTTAAAATAATGCTTCCCTAATTCACAATACTAACTTGATATAATTAAAATATCACATTAAGCTAGTAATTTTATATGTATAGATTCATCCATTCCGCTTCATCGATGTAACTGTTTTCCGGCACCGGATAAAACAAGTTATCATAGTCATCGCCATCATCTCCGACTTTATAGTCTCCGAAAAATGGCGCTTCATTAGCTTCGACGGAAACAGAAGACGAAATCGGACTGTTGCTTGAGCCTACTTCTACTCTTTCTGCTAATCTTTGGATTTCCCTCTCTGCATCATAGAGTTGTTCTTTGAGCTGAATAACCTGACGAGGAAAAAAATTGTAAAATTAATCATTACGTAGCTTAACCACCGATGCAAGCATCTGATTACACTTAAATTGGGGGATTTTTAGTCAGTGGGCCTACTGTAGAATTGAGCCCATTGACAAAGACAATCCACTATTAAGAAAATAAGAACATTGTACGGACCATATAAAGTGTATTATGTTGTGTAATAAGGTGGCAGTATACTGTTCGATATCACTTTTTTTTTGGTTCTCAACTTCACTTTCTGTCTCATTTTGAATTTTTTAATTTCTTCGAGCCTTGAGCTCACTTTCATTTATGCCAAAAAATTAATTACCAAAAGAATGTATAAAGTCTAAATTACCTATTATACTTAACTTTTACAATGCAATTTAATTAGTATAGCAACAAGGTAAACAAAAAAACGAAGTTCGGACGAAAATTATAATTACTATTATTAATTAGTTTGAAAAATAGCCGCTTCATGTTTCCTATAGTTAATTATGTATATAGCAGTTTCTTTTATTATCTATGTAGATGTAAATTTTGGATTGGAAAAAGTTGTTTAATATATCCCTTTAGTTATCATTATCTCAAGCATGGATCAAATCGATCATGAAGAAACTTAAAACCATTCCCTACCCGTATATATTATATTTATAATTAAAAATAAAAATTTGAACAAGAAACGAAAACAGCAAAACAAAAAGTAATTGAAACAGAAAAAAGAAGAAATACCTCAGATTCGAGTCGGCACTTGTCGACAACGACGTTATCATGTGAGTTCTTGAGTTTATTGTACTCCTCCTCGAGCCTTTTGTTCTTCCACCGTGCACGGCGGTTCTGAAACCAAACGGCAACTTGACGAGGGTCAAGCCCTAGCTCCGCCGCAAGTCTATCTTTCCTCTCCGACTCAAGTTTGTGCTCATCACCAAAACTCATCTCCAACATGTTCACTTGTTCATCGGTTAGCTTCCTCTTCCTAAACAAACTGTTGCTTCCGTCTCCGGAAGCCAACGCTCCTTTACTCTTCTTCCTCCTCCGCTTCGGTTGCTTCACTTCTCCTACCCACCAAACAAAATAAAAACCAAATTAATAACTCATGCTCTAAAAGCAGACCCATCTTAAATATTTGGATTTTTCTTGGAAGTGTATTCACACTTCACATGCACGTAGTTAACATCAATATTTTTAGGTCTATGCGTGTTGGTCGAGAACTTTTTTTTTAAAAAGACTCGTGTATATATATAACACCCACTTGAATTTGTATAATTTCTTCCATAAATTGTTTGAGGAATTTTCAGACTCTGATATATAAAGGATAAAAACTTTCGGATAAATTAACTAAAAACAAAACCCACTAGTATTTTTATAAGAAAATCCATGAAATTTGGGTCTTGTCGAACTTTAAAACAAAAAGATATGAAATTTCGAACATACTAATTACAAAAAACTTGCAGAAGGACAAACCTGGTTGTGGTACTAACTGAGTGTAGACATCAGGGTACAGTTGAGAGATAAAAGCCATGTTCTGATCATCCACCGTGTGGTTCATGTTCTTGGATCTCTCTATCTCTGTCTTAATTTGTCTCACTTTTTATGAAATGTGAGAAGTTGTGTTGGGGAAGAGGAAGACCTATGATTTATAAGGAGTGTAGGTGCCAAGAAATGATTTTTATTTTTTGTTCTGAGAAATGTCATTTTCCTGATGTGGGCTTCTTGTTTTTTTTAATTACGGAACTACCACTGGACGTAAT